AAGAATTTCAGCACGGCAAAGTTCACCTACACGTGGGACTTGGGGGACGGGTATGAGGACTTTTCCGGTTTGAAATATTAAGAAAAGGGTGGGACGCTTCTGTCTTCTTTTACTTCTTCCGTTGATGCAGACAGGTGATCCGAGGGAGGGAGCCGGTGGTCCGCTATCGCTACAGCGCCTCGGGGAACTACACACTGCGCCTCAAAGTGGGAGCGAACGTGACCACATATTCACCCGCCATCGCCGACGTCTACTCCACCGAGGTCCAGGTCCTGGGTCTGTGGTTTGGGGGTTTTATTTCATCTTGCAGTTCACAGGACATAACAGCTTCATATTCAGCTGCACAACTATGTCATTCATTTGAAACTAAATGATAAGACGAAGAAGTGTTTGTTCAGTAAAAACGACACGCGGCAGATCGAACAGATCGGAATATGTATATTTAGAGGCAAATAAACTGTCAGAGAGAATCGATGGGTGCATTTCTGTCAAGTAAAGTTAAGACTTGAGACTATAAAAGGGGACCAAATGAATAATTAGTCAAATTCTCTTGTAGACGCCATCAAAAGCATCGAGCTGAAGGGGCCTTCAGACTACCAGGTGTCTAAGAACACAAGTTTGGCTTTTCATGTCGATGGAAGGTATCTGAACAAAAATGCGTCTCCTTTTGAATTTGACGTCTTGGAATTGAATATGCGTCACCATGCTTCTCTCTCCCCTGTGTGTGTGTGTGTGTGTGTGTGCAGTCCTCCCATGTGGGTGTGCTGGCGTTTCCTGACCGACTGCGTGGCGGACGAGGCGGCGAGCTGCACGCTGACCGCGCTGTACGGAAACACGCTGCGACTGAACCACACCTTCACCGCCGCGGGCGTCCACTGCGTCGACATCAGCGTCCACAACGACGTCAGCAGGATGCAGACCTCCTTCAGCCTCTACGTCCGCAACAGTGAGGGGGCGACACACACACACACACGCACACACGCACAACATTGTGACCTTGTGAGAAGAGCTGTGGGGACCTTCAGACAGGTGGTAGATAAATAAAATGGCTGCTGTGGCTAAGCGAAGCCGTGTCGTGTCACGAGGGGGTTCACGGATGAAACGCACCATGTGCCCGTCAGCTGCGTTTAGACGTCGAAGATGCATTTTCTCCGCGTTCAATTGATTCTCCGTTGCTGGAATGAGATCCTATTTTAGAATGACACGCTTCCATTTGCATGCATTGCACTCTGAAGCCTCACATGTAACTGTTTTGTATCATCATGTTCAGCGGGAAGAGGTACTGGAGGAGGTGATGAAAACTCACAGGCAGCATGTTGTTCTTGGTCCCGTCTGAATGGTAGATAACACCCACTTGATCTTCATCCTGTCGTGCGCTGCCGTTCTTCTAGCGACCTTCTCCTTCATCGCGGTCATCGCCTGCCGCCCTCGTCACCGCCACGGATCCCAGGTACAGAACGTCCCAAAGAAAACCCACATTGCGTGAAGCCGTCTGGAATGCAACTGCTTAATGTCCCTCTTTGTGACCCGGAGGTCGATTTAAACGATGTGTCATGATGTTTAGCATTAAACCCCTGAGGTGTGTGTGTGTGTGTGTGTGTCGGCCCTGAAGGGCCCAGGTGACTGCAGCTCGTGACCACTAGGGGTCCGTCTCTGCCCGCCAACATGTTTCGTCTGAGCAACACAAGTGTGTGTGGCACAAAAATCATAATATTTGTCCCCAGAGTTTGAGGAAGCTGGACCCAAACTACATCTCTTTCAGCACGACGTAATTGATTTCTGCAGGTTGCAACGTGCAGCAACGCCGTATTTCTGAAGAACCAAGACGCCGAAGGTCAAAGCGCGATCGTCTTTAACTTCTCCGACGTGGCGAAGGGAGAGAAGGAGCCTCTCCTGACGCAGCACGGGACACAGTAGTGCTCTTAACCTCCACGCCGCCCTCCGTCCGGGCTCATGGAGACGGGAGAAGATGCAGTTATGGCCCCGCGGAGCAAATCCCATCTCGCATGAAGAAGAATCATTTCTGCACAACACATTTTAATAAAATGCCTTTTTTGTGTTTAGGAGTGTGTGATCAGTGAGCAGGTAGCTCACACACTTTCTCTATTATAGATGATCGATGAGTCCCAGACCTTTGGCTGACATTCCCATCAACTCATAATAAATGAATAGCACAACTGCAAGTCATGTTTAAACAATGAGTGTTCTTTTACGGATGCTGTGATCTGATTATTTATTTATGTGTTTTTCTATGTTTAACGACGATGATGATGCAACTGATATAAACATGTCAATCAAACTGAAACTAATGCCAACTACTTTAGCAAGAATTAAAAAAAGACAAAGCACAACAACACATTATTTTTTGTTTGTCTTTCAATGCTTAATACTCATGTTTGGCTTGAAACATGTCCACAGGGCGTTGCATTGTGGGAGAATAGTACGCGTTGACAGCGCATTCACAAACGGAAGGTGTTTGGTAGACACGCTGTTTTCTTGTTAAACATTCAATGCACTAAAACACCCGCTGTGTGATGAGAAGTCAAGAGATCGACAATCTTTTAAGATTCATCCTCTGGATGCACATTTCATCGCATTGCAACCAAACGTTGGTGGAATATTTCAGCCTGGACCAAAGTGTTGGAGCATTGGAGCACACACGGTGCACCATCCATCCTTCCGTCAGCGATGTCTCGACATTGTCGACCGTGAGTCTCCTGACGAATGAGTCGCTGTGGGATCGAAGTCTGCAGCCTTTCACAGCTTTTAAGGCACACGGATCTAAACTATTTTTCATTCACACACGTCAACTGAAGGAAAACATTTGTGTACTCTCTTATTAGAAATGATTGTTATATATATGTAATAATATTGTTATTATTGTTATTTGAATTACGAAAGAATAGCTGCAATTTAATCTGCATGATTGAAGCTTAAAGCTCAGAGATGATGTGAGCAACCGGTGCCTATTCAAGCATTCAGCGGATCTGAGGCTACATGGTTGATATGACAGTATTCTTTAGTCCGGCTGTGCTGATATGATGCTCGTCAAATCATTTTGTCTCAGCTTTTCAGCTGGTTGTCATGGTAAATATTCTATGTACTTTACAACGCCTCTTTGTCATCATTTTCTTCTTTCATTTTACATTTGTAGCACGCGAAAATAAACCCAACAACCAAGCAACCTTTCTTCAATACACTGTCAGTATGTAAAACAAGCAATAAAATTATGAACAGAAACTCAATTCTTCTCTGTCTCTTCTTGGAGGTTATTCTTTTGTTTTATTTTATTTCATTTTATTTAATAATTTAATATTTTTTATCTTATTATATTGTATATAATGTGTATCTTTTAATTCTATTTTCTTCCCTGCGACACCAAAATTTCCCTCTTGAGGGATCAATAAAGTATCTATCTATCTATCTATCTATCTATCTATCTATCTATCTTTTCCTTGAGTCTTCATTTTAGCTCTACTAAGAGCTGCCTTTCCTGAGGAAGAATATAGTTAAGGCGACCTCTGACCTTTCACCCTTTCTCATCTTTTAAGTATTGCTAATGCCACCCGGGACACCTGTTGTCTTGGCTCGGGCCACCGCATCCTGCTCAGCCGGTGTGATTAACTAATGCCATGTGTCACCTTTCAGCTTCACACACACTGCTACCAAGAGGCAACGGGATCTTAATCTGCCCCTCATGGAATTAATAAATACCTTTGATTATATACGTCAAATAGAAACTAGAAACTACACTGATGAGCAGTAAACTCAGAGATAAAAAGTCAAAATGTATGGATTTCATTTGCAGCAGATATTTCCTTTATTTTCCACATTGTTGTTATTGTCAAAGCAATGACGTTTTAACACCCACAACATTTAATGGCACTTAGGTCTCCACGAGAAGGCCACGAGAAAAGATGGACAATGCGTGATACGTGTGCTAAAAACAGTGATTACATAAAAAAAGACACTAAATAGTAGAAAACGCTACACATTCAAAATTCATTTCAGAGAGTTATGATCTAACCTGTTACATGTTCTGTTGAAAGCCTTATTCGACAATCCACAGCAACAATGTTCCAAATCAAGAACTGAAGATACATCACCACATTGAAGCTATGAACACGTTTCAAACAGGATTCACCATTTAAACCAGTTTGGGAACAAACAAAAGGCAAAGGAAAGAAAAGCACGGTGATGGACTCACTAGTATCACTGGTGTCACGTATGTGTGATGCAAAGCTGTGTTTCTAGTCTCTGGTACACACAAAGAGACAAGCTTTACTTTTCCACTGAATTTGGATTTTCTTTACTTTAAAGCCTGTGAGTGGAGCGGGAGATAGTCGGGCGGGGGGGCTCTGAGGGGGTGAGGATGTATTTGTACCGGTACCCGGGGTGACCTTTTACCGCGGCGGTGGGTTTACAGATCGCAGTACTATTTATGGTATAGAAATAAACCTTTAAACACTCTCTGATTGCAACTTCTCATGAGATGGCCGTTATTGATGGGATGTCTCTGTGCAGAGCAGAACAAATTAAGATCAAAGTAAAGTCCATAAACTGCCCCTCGGCAAGAGAAGGCGATAAAAGAATCGCTGAATGGATGGAAACAGCAGTGAATCTGAGGAGAGGCGCAACACGTGGGTCCTAAGCATTCGGCAGCCGCTCCTGACACACCTCCAGGGGCCGCTTGAACGCCCCCCTCCCGAAAACTTCGACGTTGCTCGCCAGCCAGGAAATCACGTTTCCGGGGACGTACGCGCTGCAGTTAGCCATGGACTGGACCTCCACCGGCTTCAGAACGCGGTCCCAGATGTTGACCTGGCTCAGCTCGCCCACGAACGCCTGACCAGCATCGAAGCGGCCGCCGACCACGTCCTGCGAGCGCCGTGAATGAGAAACAGCTTCAACAACGACGTAATCAACCGTTATCTTACTGGGGTGGAGGAAGAAGTCAGGGGGACTGTGGGTGTTGTCAAGACATTTCCCCTAAAAACAAGACACCCAGTATTTATAGGGCACATCATCTGGTGACCATGAATATCAGAACACTATGTCGAGAGTTCCTCCCCCCTGGAAACCAAAGGTCTGTTCATGATTTCACTAATAATGATCCATCCTTCGGTTGTTCCGAAAGGACATTTTATTCCAAGGCAATTCATTCATTTAAATGTTTAAAACAAACTTTAATTTAATTTGCTGCTTGTCTACAATGTCCTCAGATAAGAGCCGTCCTCAAATACTGATTTGATTACCACAAAACGTAACAGTCATTGATTGTCTCATTGTCGTCCATTTCTGAATAATGAACAAATTGTTCCAGAAGGGGACCTCAGCATCTACGGGCACCGACAGGCCTCCCATTACGGTATTAATCGTTCTGCCATGAAAACCTCATTACTGCTGCTGCTTCCTCACCTGTTCCTGCCCAAGGATGATGACCCCCCCGGGTTTGATGGGGTGCCAAGCGGCCAGGTTGTCGCCAGTTCCCAGCTTCCTCCCGTCCTGGTAAGCGTCCCACTGGCCGTCCCGTGTGGTCCAAGAGATGCAGATGTGGTGCCACATTCCATCCCGGACCTCCAATGGCAACTGGGCAACCTAATTGGTTCATGATACAATATTCTTAGCTGAGCTTCATTTTCATCATAAAACCATAAAGCCGTAGCAGATTTAGGAAACTCGCCTTGTCATTGATGAGCAACTCTATGGGGTTATTGCCCCATTCGATCAGCACTATCTCATTGGCTTGCCCCGGTACACCGTAAGAGAAAGGTGTGCCGATGCCTGGACTGGCACTGGACTTGATCCACATGCACAGAGTGAACGCGTACATCTCCGGCAGGCTCTTGGTGATGCGGCCGTACAGGTAGTTGGTCCTCTGGGGGAGGCACAGCTTGAACTGCTCCGGGGACTTGAAGTCTCCTCCTCCTGGCGAGAGACATGGAGACAGAGAGAGAGAGATAAACAGGTCTGTAAACAGGGAGATAACAGAATGTCCATGGGTGTCTCTGATCCATCAACTAGTGTATTCCCCTGAGTGCCTTTCTCGTCTCCTCTCCATTAGTGTATAATAGATAGAATGCTTTAGTCAGTCTTATATTTCTTGGTAGCAACATTGACTCATCATCTCATAACGACGTTTCATCTTCTATCTATACAGTTATGGTGAGTGGTGTCTTCCGTACATACCTTTCTCCAGCTCGCTGATCCTGTCCACCAGGGCGCTCAGCGTGCTCTCCGTCTTCAGCCTGTAAGCGGCCGTGGCATTGGAGAGCATGCTCTTCTCCTCCTCCAGGCTGCTGACTTTCTTCAGGAGCTGCTTCTCCAGCTCCCTGAGCCGCCGCTGCAGCAGGTCGCGGAGCTCACTGGGGAACGAGGCGCCGGATATGTTGGCGCGCAGATGCTGTTGCTGAGGGACAACGGAGAGGTCAACATGAGCAGGAAGTGCACCAAGGGGATGGAGGACAGGGAGACCCCCCCCCACCACCTGAGAGCTGCATCAGTCCATTGTTCGGTATAATATATAATACAATATAAGGTCTTCCAATCCTGTTATTAGATTAGTTTATTTGATTCAGTTTTAAACTCCCAATAAATGATCCCCAGCATGTCGCTCAATAGACTCATGAAGATTTGCTTAGTGTAACATGGACATAATAGTTAGTGCTCATTGATTTTAAAGTGCTGCGGTGTTACAAGAAAGGTCGAGGAAATGATCGCTGACTCGGGGGTTTAGGATAATGAAGTTTCCTTTATATAAAATTCTATTTGATTGAATATTTATTAAATAGCTTTTTTGAACATTTGAATGGATGATCATTTTAAATAAATGTCTTTTAAATATCACGTGTCCCGCAGGGTTACGCATACCCCCGTTTGAGAACCGCTGGTCTGGACCATTCATCTGATTCTCACAGAAACGTTCGGTGCGTAATGATTCTCGAAGGAACCGCTGACTTCTGAGTGAATCCACAAATCCGCTTCAGTCAAACCGTGCCTTTACGCACGCTTTTGGCGCAGACTGTGCCTTGCGCAACTGGTACCGACTTACCTCCAAATTCTCCAGCCGGTCCTTGAGTCCTTGCATGGTTTTTCCAAGACTATCGATGGAGTCATTTGGATCTCTTGGAACGTCCCCCATTGTATTTTGCTTTTCTTTGCCCCAGGAAGCCCCTTTGTCGTACTTCCTGTCGTCGGTTGAGGCACAGAGGGACAGCTTGGTGGTTAGCTCGTTGATGGTGCCTATCTGCTTGGCAATGGTTTCTTTCTGCTGTAAGATGGTCTCTCGGAGCTGCATGACGGTATTCCTGAGCTCTTCCTCCTGGCTCCCGGCGTTCAGCTCCGGTAACAGAGTCACAGGGCAGCTGGAATCTCCGCTGAGGGGCACAGCCCGGCAGATGTATCGCTTCCCATCGTCCGCCTGGCCGCTCGGTAGTTGGCCGCCGCCAAGCGCGCAAACACACAACAATCCGCACAAGAGGAGCAACATGCCGGCGGCGTTCCCCCTAAAGGGAAAGGGGGCAGCCGGACACTAAACCCTAAACACTCGCCCTAAATCCCCTCGTAGTTTTAGTGCGTAAAAGTGTATAAGTCGGGCTAAACATCACGTATAACTATTTCTGCAGCGAAATGAAGACAATCCGATCATCGTGCCTCGCGCTCTAAGTCGCGTCCACTTATAGTAAGGAACTATTTATGGCGCAAACAGAGCGCAGCGTGCGGTGCTGATCGGACAGCTCCTCTACGTAAGAGGATTACCCCTGGAGAAGGTGCCCAGGAGGCTTCTGGATTGGCTGTTATAAATTGACGTCACCGACAGGCTGGCCGAGCCATTTGTCGATGTATCTGTTGAGTTAAACAAGCAATGACGGGTGTCAGAGCTTCATCTCTGTTGTAAATTCAACATTCAATCCTGGTCAGAAAGCCCCCCAGCACACGTGTATGAAGAAAAAACGCCGTTGTTATATTTCAACAGTAAAAATTAGATCATGATGTGGATTTATTAATGTAAAAACATTGTATTGATATCATTTTAAAGCATGGATCTTGTTTGGTTTAAGAATTACAAAGAAAACGAAAGAATTTGTGTAACAGGGAATACATTAAATAAGTTGTCGAGAGAGAATGCGTTCATTTTTTAATTTATACAATATAAAATAGATAAACTAATCCAAATGCTATTATTGTGTGTATCTCCACATATTGGTCCATTGATTGTAATACAGTAGCTATAATATTAACAGTGATTTGGTGGGAAATCATTTAAACAATCGGCTGAGCAAAAAGGTGAGAATTCAAAGCCAAGAAGAGGCATAAAATTCTTATTTTGAGTTTATACAAGAATTAAGTAACACAGATTTCTTAAGATTAAGATACAATATGACTTAAATATATTTGATTTAGTGTAATCTGGTCAATCAGATTGACACCTGAATACTGTAATAATAGTGATGTGAGTGATGACCTTTGATTGATTGATTTGAACACAGAGGCATTTAAGGCTTTAAACACATTAAAGACCAACACAAGACGATATCACAGTAGACCTTGATCCTTGTCATTCTATTTTTGCACATTTTTCCAATTGCAATATTCTTTTAACTTAGCTTATTATTTACCGAAAATATTGTCACTGTGACAAATAATGGAGTAAATTGGTGTAACATCGTTAAAGTCAATCAAATTCACTGGCAGGCGTGGAGTGTAATATCCTGGTCATGATTTAATTATAAATACCTGGAACACAATCATCCTTTTACTTCCTGTGCTGGTACATTTTACACCAGGATTCAGGGGCCTCAAAGGCATCTCAAGAGAAAGAGTTCTAGCCGTCAAAAACGTGACGAATCATTACGAACGCAGGTGAGTCTCTTCAGAGCAGAAACAGGATGTGATGGTAAACAATTAGCAGCAGCTGTGAAAGGTCAATAAAGCGTGCGGCGCAGACGGGAAGACTCACGGCTGTGCTTTGAACATCAAATCCCACCCGGTCATACTGGAAGTTTATGCTCTGCTTTTATTAACCGCACAATGTTCAAGTTTGAGTTTTTAAAAACAGCGAGGAACTCAGCTGAGCGGATTCTTATTTCCTATAAATTAACAAGCAGGAAAGAAAGAAAAACAGTTATTCAAGTGAGTCGAGCGCAATGAGGGTTATTAAGGTTAGCAGTCGCAAAGCGACTTTCTCATCAATGCATCACATCAAATCAACAGCAAGAAAGAACAGGAGAAAAGGGGCAGAAAGAAGCAGGATCTGGCAGCAGAGATTGACCATCAACACCTTCGGTTTGCTCGATTCAGAGCTCGCTTTCCAAAGCCGTGCAAACCAGTTCAATCATCAGTGCAAGACTCGCCCCGTTAAACCCAGAATGATTTACTCTGACATCACACCTTTCTTCTGCTTACCAGCCGACAAAGACAAAAGGCGTCTGTCCAATTCACACTGCAGCTGATTAGAAACCAGCCGCGGGAAGTCGAGGCATACACTGTTATAAGATTAGACATGTTCACATATCTGGTGGACTGTGTGGTCTGAGTCTTTTACTCATTTGTTGATTGGCCTGGTTCACAGAGAACATGTCCTCTATGGATTGAAAGAGTTTGTGCACATGAAGGCTTTTAGATGCATGAATAGATTTCCAGTCTATTGTTGATTCCGTCTCAAGCAAAGTGCTCTTCTTTTCTATCTGAGGAATAATGATGCATGGGTGACGTGGTTCCATCATCGGGGCATCAGCAGACGCAGCGCTGAACCCCCCCCCCCCACCTTCCCCCCGCAAATCTAATGGACACATGAGTGGTTTTTGGAAAGCTGGAGAGCGAGTGTGTCATCCTCTCTCTCCTCTCAGAATACACAAAAAAGAGAGCACTAATGAAACAAATAGGACAGTGCAATAAGCCTGAGACAAACATCTCTTAGCAGATCATTATGTTTAGGGAACACACAGCCGGAATGAGAACGTCACATTGCATGTCAGATTACCTCGTGAATTCTTCATGACATTAACTTAAAGGAATATCTCGGGCTCTCGCCGGTGGTTTTGCTCGATAGAAGATGAAGGAGAATGAATACAAATCCATTAGTAAAGCATGTGGGCAGGAGACAGGCCAAGCTAGATACAGAGCATCTTTCAACCTGGCTTCATTATTAACAAAGCTATAGAAAAAAGACCCATGAGATATTTTTTCTGAAAAAGACAGACACTAATACTACTTATTGTGGTGACATTAAACTTTCAGCTAAAACCTTTAAAAAGATGATGAAAGGTGATAAGCTTTGACCTTAGATAGATAGTCACTGATTTCCACACGCATGAAAGAAGGTAAAGAAAACTGTTTAGAGGATCAATGAAAACCAGAACAGCCTTAAATCTATATTACTTGGCAATCACCCTTTTTTTTTCTAAGATTAAGCCATATCTTGATCTTTTCATGGCAACTGCATTAGCCCATGTTTGCCCACTCCAAGAAATGAAAAACAGCCTGGTGTTTTGTTGCACATAAAAATTGCCATTATGCTTGTTTGACTTTGAGCACAAACGATATCCAGTGCCCCCGGCTCCTTCCTTAGGCTGCCATCTTCTGGTAAATACAAGCCATGCATAACATGTTTAACTAAAATAAATTAAAACAATAAATAAATAAACTGAATTCTCTGGCACTGTTATTCTATCGCACTGCCTGTCTCGCATTCCCTTGTATATTCCTATTAAAATTAATTTCTTCTTTCTTTTAAGTTGTCAGGTTGCAGAAAGTCCCTGTTCTTAATTTGTATTTGTTAAATTAGCACCATACTTTGACCTTTAATAACAACGAAAAAAAAGGGAATTTTTCACAACCTGGCCAAATTCCTCTATAACTAATCTATACATCATAAAGCTACGAAAGGTTTAGTTCATCAAGTAATTAATTTGAAAGTACACCCGTAAACCACACCAACATGATAACACTCAACCGCAGGTCAAGACCCCTACAACAAACGTACTAGTCCCATAATTGGTAAAGTAAAGCTGGTTCTACCAGAAACAGTGTCAAACCGCCAAGTTGCGCCACATTTCTGCAGACGATGCGTTCACGCACAGTTTACCCGCAAAGTGACTTCCTTTGCTGAAGTCGCGGGAGCCGGAAGACCATCGAAAACGATGGTCATACATTCACACGCTTCCCTGTGTATCGTTCCGCCGGTACTAGAATAAATTACTCAACCATTTATTATGATCATAATTTTACGATAAGAAAAACTATTGCATCACTCCTCCACATACGCGTCTCTTTGTTCAAACGGCATCACGCTGTTTTCGGGTATTGGGATTTAAAATGCGGTTCCCCCACCACGCGGAGGGATATCACGCGTCGTCTCCTGTCGCAGGACCCGAGCAGCGGTGCGAGAGCGGCGGTTACGGAGCGAGTCGTCGGTTCCCTCGCCGCGCTGCCGGGTACGTACAAATGGCTATTTTCGAATAAACTTTGGCGAAACAGGAGGCGTTTTTCAAAATCCTGCTGTACACGAATAACTTTTAAACAGACGTGCGTCTGCAAAAGGGGGCTTTGTCCCTGTTGCACAATTTAATTTTCAAGTTTGCCTGTAATGTTAGGGGATTCGCGAGCGCTTTCTTTCTTTTCGGAAAGCTAGCTCATTAGCTAACGGCTTTAAGCTTGTTCTGCAAATGAATATAAAATGGTGCCTGTTGTGAACGTCTTGGTCGGATGCATAAGCGTGCAGCACCGCCCAGCAATGTATTGGTTTTAGTCTTTGGCGCCAGAAAACCCGTTTTTAATTCACAAATATGAATGCAGTGCACAGAATTCTTGCTAGCCGGCGCTTGTTATGATGTCATCAAAGCGCGCCCGGCAGGAGGCATGTTTGTGGATCTGTAATTTCCGAAACCCTTTTTTTTGCTGTAATGCCTATTTTCTGGCCACATTTTCAGCAAATATTACTTTAACGTCTTAATTTAGATTAATTACATCGTGTGTGATTTTTTTTTCTCCTGGAATCTCCGCAGGGTTCATGAGGTCCCAGTGAGATCTGTGCCGACTGCGATCTGACCCGTTCCCCACAGCAGCCCGCCCCATCTGCCACCATGGCCTTCGTGCCCGCGCCCAGTCCCACCGTGGTGGACCAGACCACCCTAATGAAGAAGTACCTGCAGTTTGTGGCCGCGCTCACCGACGCTAACACACGTGAGTTCATGGAGCTCGTAGTGTGTTGCTGGACATGAGTTAGTCCAGAGACACAAAACAGGCAGAAGGAGTTTAAAAAAAACAAATGTCTGCATTTAATGACATTTTTGTTTATTGGGTAGTGTACATTCATTCAGTACATGAAGGCAATTTGTAGTGAATTTGCTGTTCCCACAAAACGGTTTAATCAAACCTTGAAAGGCGTTTAGAGCCAGATGTTTTCCATTTCAGCATGGTATTGTTTTGCACTTTGCACATTTTATTCTCTAGATTACAATCAGTACTATATGCATTATTTTATTTTATATATTTATTTATATTTGTCATTTATTAAGTTATTTGTAGAATAGGAATTTATGCTAGTAGGAATCTAGTGAATTCCACAGAAATCAAACGGGTGTTAAAGCATTTCCTTTTCCTTTTAATAATCAAAGTAGCAAATTCTAATCACACCTTTCTCATACTAATTATATTCATACTATATACAGTTTTCCTCTACTTAGTGTGAGCAAAATAGATAAGATGGCACTTGTGCTAAGCATGGGCGACGTGATGAGAGCGATATGCTTTAGTCCAGTCAAAGGTACGTGTGTCTGGGAGAGTGCTTGACTGTATGAGTGTGAAGACTTTGTGTGATTCTTGATGTACCTTTGAACAACCTGGATGATGAAAGTAAAACTGATAAGATCTGACCGTCCTTGCTCGGCACATGAAAGCAGCCGTGGGAAGTGAATCTATATTTGAAGGAAGTCTGATTAATGGTTACATTCTGTCCTTCAACTTCCAGCTGATGAAACTAAGTTAAAGATGATGCAGGAGGTCAGCGAAAACTTTGAGGTAAGTTGCTTATCTTCAGCATGCTGATGGATCCTCTGGGCGGGATTCATTTCCATCATCTCCTTTGATGTATATTAAGAATGTTAACAGATTCTGCATTGGTCCAGTTTGCTATGGATTTTTTAAGTTGTATCACACCCTGTGATATGTTTTTGATGGAAGTAAATAATCCTGCAGCATGGAAGAAAAATCTTCGTCAGAAATTGGCTGTGCATGGAAACACGAAGCCCGTATGCACCAAGCTACCTCATGAAATAACGTCTTGGAATTTAAATTTCAGAATGTGACATCTTCGCCTCAGTACTCCACCTTCCTGGAACACATTATCCCTCGCTTCCTCACGTTTCTTCAGGATGGAGAGGTGCAATTCCTGCAAGAAAAACCCACTCAAGTATGTGGTTTAAGACTGATGTCCTTCAATGTTCTAAAACTCTACAGACAGAAATCCAATGTGTCCTACATACGGTTTTGTTCACAGACACTAGTTTGTCAGAAATAAATCAAATCGAGATAACGTTCTCAAAAAGTTATAATCTTGTACACCAACGTTTGAGTAAATCAATCATGGTTTGATACGTTACATTAACATATTGTCCTTTTTTTTCCCAGCAATTGAGGAAGCTGGTGTTGGAAATCATCCACCGCATTCCAACAAATGAACACCTTCGTCCACACACAAAGAACGTCCTGTCGGTGATGTTCCGCTTCCTAGAGGTAGAGTACTTATATTTTACGTTTTATCATGTTTTGTATCATTCAGTTGCTCTATATCTTTTTCCACTTGTGGTGGATTGGCTTTACTTTGTAACACTTCATCCGATCAATATTAACCACTTCCCAAAAGCTGCAACTTGTTCTTGTCATGCTTTTTTTTTTCATTAGATGCTTTATGTATGAGTTATAAAATAGTGGGGTTACTAGTGGCTCCATTGGGAAACAGGGAGAATTGTCTAATGTGCAATCATTCACTTTTTGTTCTTTTTGCTTCTTCTTTTTTTACAGATTGAAAATGAGGAAAATGTGCTGATATGCCTTCGCATCATTATTGAGCTACACAAACAGTTTCGGCCGCCAATTTCTCAGGAGGTGAGAATGGCGCCTTGACTCTTGAAGAGTTAGTGAGTTGTGAAATAATTTTCACAGAGGAGAGCTATACTTCCCTGTACTTTAGAAGCATGTTGTTTTCATTAGGCCGGTGAGAGTCATTCATTCTAAAAAGGAGTTGAAACATTGGGCTATTTTCTTGAGGTCGTGGTTTAGCATGTTCTCCACAATCTTCTCTTCTCAGATTCATCACTTTCTGGACTTTGTGAAGCAGATTTACAAAGACCTTCCAAAAGTAGTTGTGAGTACAACCTTCCTAGCCGCTGGCTTTGCTCTCCGTTAGAATCGTTTGGTTCCGATTTGCTCAGCCTTCCCACCTGTATTCCACCAGGCCAGGTACTTTGAGAACCCGCAGGTGATCGCAGAGAACACGGTTCCCTCCCCGGAAATGGTCGGGATGATCACGTCGGTGTTGGTAAAGACCGCGCCTGAGAGGGAGGACAGCGAAACCCGAACCGTAAGCTCAATCCAGCAGTTTACAGGAGTTCATGTTTTACATGCAGACTGCAGCACCGTCTACAACCACAGGATGGGAGTACTGCTCCGTGTTGCTGCTCCTCACTGGAGAAACCACAAAATGCTCTTTTAATAGAACATAGTTTCCAGCAAATCTTCAGCATTGTTTTTATAGCTAAACATTTTAAAACTATTATGCCGGTTTAACACGATGCAGTGCTGAGTTTGTCTCATCAACTGTCATTCAGATTTAGCATTTAACAAAGAGTGTATCTTAACATCTAAAAAATAAAGTGACATCTTCTCATGAAATGTACAATTACCGATCAGGATTAAAATCCTCTGATAGGATACATCCCCATGTCTGTCACATTTATCGCTTGTGTTTTAAGGCTCCAGCTATAGAAAGGTGTAGCTGGTGTCCAGCATTCACCTCGGCCAGTTGTTTGTCATCCTAATTGGATTTCTCCCTTTGTTTCTGCCTCCAGCACACCATCATCCCACGGGGGTCCTTGTCCCTCAAGGTGCTCGCAGAGCTGCCTATCATCGTTGTGCTGATGTATCAGGTCAGCGACACAATCCTGCCTTCTCTAAATGTAACCATCACACGGTAACGTGGAATCAATAAGTGAAAATAAACGTGTAAATCTGCTTTTATCTAAAAGAGATTGCAATTTTACGTTCAACGGTGAATTGAAAACAAATTTGGGTCAACAAAATAAGTAAAAGACTTCCATTTTTAGGGTGAAACATTTCGTTGGCATCGACTGAATTCTGACTACTGCGTTCTTGTATCTTGGAATCTGTCACTGAGGCAATAATGTTTTTTTCTGCTCTGTCCCCTCAGTTATATAAGCTGAACATCCACAATGTCGTATCAGAGTTTGTACCCCTCATCATGAACACCATCATGCTCCAGGTGTCTCCCCAGGCCAGGTGAGATGTGTGTGTGTGTTCCCCTTTAACAAAGTTCATTTTTTGACGGCCATCTATGTGATTCGGGGCGCGTTTAATTGGATGGCATCTTCCCACCGAGTTGCTGATGACACTTTGCCTGCCAAATTTAAAACTTTAAATCTATTTTGGAACGTAAGAATAGTAGAGGTTGGCGTGGCAGGAGGTGACACTTCTCAGTGTGGGAAGAGACTTGTGTTAAGCAATTGAAACTGGGAGAAATGGAGCGCAGTGAATTTGGAAAGAATGCCTCCGCAGTCTCTGGCAGGTATAAAGAGACTATCTTCCTTCAGGGAAGGAACAGCTGTGACACAAACCAGCAAGTCACCCATGAAGAACGAGTTCCACATGTAGTACACCCGAAATGTGTCTCAACCTCCATAATTGCCACCTACTGCAGGTGCACAACATCGTTACTGTCTTTGATGGGACTAACTAGCCTCTACGTGTATATCGTGCTGCTTCCCTTTCAGGCAACACAAGCTTTATAACAAGGAGCTGTACGCAGACTTCATTGCTGCCCAGATCAAGACTCTGTCCTTCCTAGCCTACATCATCCGAATCTACCAGGTACACCTGTGCTGGCTGTTGAATTCCATTGTTTCAACAATGCGTCCTCTTGTCAAGCTCGGTGTAAAATGGAACGGCCAGCAAAGATCCCGACAACGTGACGACAAGTATGTCAGGCAGACACATTGTGAAGGATTATTATATTATCGTAGGTGTCTGTTTATTGGCAGAGCGTAACGTAATGTGCTCACTGGTATGGAGACGGAAAAGCTCAGAATAAAAAAAAAAAAAGACATTCAATGTTCCCTCCAACATTTAGCGTACTTTGACTCTGTTCTGATTATTATTATTATTTCTGCAGAGTGTAAATCGCCTCCGTATCGACTAACCTGAAGAGTGAATTGTGCTTTTCCTCATGTGTGTGTGTAAATATCAGGACCTGGTGGGGAAGTACTCTCAGCAGATGGTAAAGGGAATGCTGCAGCTGCTGACCAACTGCCCGTCTGAGACGGCTCACCTCCGCAAGGAGCTGCTCATCGCAGCCAAGCACATCCTCACCACCGACCTGCGGAGCCGTATGTGCACTCATGCACAATGTGCACGTAGACTAGTGTGAAACAGGAACATTAGAAGGCTGAGGGTTTAAACTGTTTTATTTTAAATAGTGGGTCATATTTTCTTTTAGATATTTGTATAGTCTTTTCTTCCCGGTCATTACAGCACACATTCTTGCCAAGTTGCATTTCATTGTTAAAATATATACGAGCCTCATTTTGATTCGGTGTCTGAGCGGTTGAAAGTGAGACCGAACGAAAAGGAGTAAAAACCCATCGGTGAACTTTTGAGAACACGATACACATCTTCGATGGATTTCTTCACTTTTCTGCTTCGGCGGCTCAAATCCTTTTCTGTGATTCAGCCCAATTTTGGCGAGAGATTTGACATGTGAGGTTGAAGAAAGCTGTTCTCTTGCTGCCAAAGCCAGAAAAAGAGCATTGACACAATAACTATTCTTAACGTGTGTTTTATTATTCATTCGTTTTATTTATTGCATCCAACGTGTGTTTTTCATGAATCATGCCATAAAACCCTGTTTTGTTTTTTTGTATTTCAGAGTTCATACCTTGCATGGACAAACTCTTCGATGAATCCATCCTGATCGGTTCTGGTTATACCGCTCGGGAGACCCTGAGGTGAGTTTTGTGTGATCTCGCCACCGTCGCCCGTGTGGTCATTGGATCCCCTCGGCATCGGATCCCATCTCTCTCTGTCTCGTGGGTGACTGCTCAGCCGGTGCGTGTTAACCGGCGTAATAATCATGCCGTTCTCAGTTCTGCTGGAAACTCACGAAACAGACGAGCTACCTCCTGCGCTGTCGGGTTGTCATGTACACCGGCATCTCCGGAGGGCAGGTAGTCGGAACAAAAGCTTGTTGACCCTCTTCAGACGGCCAACTGGCTCCCCGATCAACTTAATATCTGTCATTTCACATTAGTACGACATAAGACACGATGCAGTTGGCTAAGACCCGACAGGACCATCAGTGTGTGTCTCTCTCTCTCTCACAAAGTCAAGCCATCGCTAACTGCCCCTGATTACGGGCGGGGGCACTGACCTTTCTCCGCTTATCACGGCTCCTGTCATCATCCTGCTCCATTCTGCTGTCACAGTCACACGTGTCCGTTTCTCACCAGACCGTTGGCCTACAGCACACTAGCAGACCTGGTGCACCACGTCCGTCAGAACCTGCCCCTGACGGATCTCTCCCTAGCCGTGCAGCTCTTCGCCAAAAACATTGACGACGAGTCGCTTCCCAGCAACATCCAGACCATGTCCTGCAAGCTGCTGCTCAACCTGGTGGACTGCATTCGCTCAAAGTCCGAGCAGGAGAACGGCAACGGGCGGGACATCCTGATGAGGATGCTGGAGGTGGGCGTCGTCTTACCTGCATCTCTGATCCGCGCAGAAGACAAACCGGTGAAGGTTACTTGCACGTTGATTAGACACGCAAGTCATTCTTCCCTCTTTCTTCCCCCATAAATCAGGTGTTTGTGCTGAAGTTTCACACCATTGCGCGTTACCAGCTCGTCTCCATCTTCAAAAAGTGCAAGCCTCAGTCGGAGATGGGTGTGGTGGACCCGGGGGTGTTGCCCGGGGTGCCGGCCACACCCACCCCCTCCACCACCCCGGCCATTCAGCCTCCGGCTCCCGCCACGCCCGTCCCCGCGCCGCCCGCGCCCCCGACCGCGTCCCTCGACCGAGGCGGCGAGAAGGAAGACAAGCAAACCTTTCAGGTGTCGGACTGCCGCAGCTTGGTCAAGACGCTGGTGTGCGGCGTGAAGACGATCACTTGGGGCATCACGTCCTGCAAGGCCCCAGGAGGTGAGATGACACGGACGCACGCTCCACACAGCAGCAAGTTACACATCCGATGCAATGATGAAGCAATGATTTGCTTGATTGAATCTCTTCTCTTTCCCAGAGGCTCAATTTATTCCTAACAAGCAGCTTCAGCCGAAGGAGACACAAATCTACATTAAGCTGGTGAAATACGCCATGCAGGCCTTGGACATCTACCAGGTACGGCGAAAGTTCTCCACCGTCACCACAAATAATAAACAGAGGATGTATTTGAGTTGCATCCAACAACAGCCCGATGTAACAGCACGAGTCCCTCCCGACCAGGTCCAGGTTGCCAATAACCAGCAGACGTACATCAGGGTGGCCAACTGTCAGACTGTACGCATGAAGGAGGAGAAGGAGGTTCTGGAGCACTTTGCCGGGGTCTTCACCATGATGAACCCGCTCACATTCAAGGAGATCTTTCAGACGACCGTGCCGTACATGGTGGAGAGGATCTCCAAAAACTACGCGCTGCAGGTACGTGACCTGATCAGTGTTGTCTCACGGTTGACATGTTTTTCTGATGGTTAGATACTTAAATATGTATTATAAGGTTGTCCGTCTTAACCCATCACAAGATAGAATTCCATTTCATATATCCCGTCCTCTTCCCAGATTGTGGCCAATTCTTTCCTGGCCAACTTGTCGACCTCAGCACTATTCGCCACCATCCTGGTGGAGTATCTTCTGGAGCGGCTCCCAGAGATGGGCTCCAATGTTGAGCTCTCAAACCTTTACCTGAAGCTCTTCAAACTAGTATTTGGCTCAGTGTCGCTGTTTGCTGCTGAAAACGAACAGATGCTCAAGGTAAGTGGAGGTTGTGTGTGTGTGTTTTTTGTGATGCTAGTTTTTTATTTTCATCTAATATGAGGGTCCCTGTTTCCTCAGCCACACCTCCACAAGATAGTGAACAGCTCCATGGAGCTCGCCCAATCGGCCAAGGAACCCTACAACTACTTCCTGCTTCTCCGGGCACTCTTCCGTTCCATTGGTGGAGGCAGCCATGACCTGCTCTACCAGGAGTTCCTGCCCCTTCTCCCTAACCTGCTTCAAGGTAAAGCCTCACTCACCATTACTCTGAATGAAAATTTGTATTTGGCAAGTGTGGGGAAGAAGATACCCCTCCCTCCAGTACGTTCTCCCTAACGTCTCATGCTTTCAGGTCTCAACATGCTGCAGAGTGGCCTCCACAAGCAGCACATGAAGGATCTCTTTGTGGAGTTGTGCTTGACGGTGCCGGTGCGTCTGAGCTCCTTGCTGCCCTACTTGCCCATGCTAATGGATCCGCTGGTGTCGGCCCTCAACGGCTCTCAGACTCTGGTCAGCCAGGGCCTTCGCACTCTGGAGCTGTGTGTGGACAACCTGCAGCCCGACTTCCTCTACGACCACATTCAGCCTGTCAGGGCCGAGCTCATGCAGGTGGATTTCCTCTTCTTCTCCTTATCATGTCCAATGCGATGTTGAATGATCTGCTTGGCAGGATGCAAACGTTATTAATTTAAATCCACTAATTAAATCATTCTCTTAATAGCGCATATCTGCCCTCTAGTGGTCAACAGTGGACATGGCAATATGTGCTGAACCCTTACCTGGTTTGTCATTGCAGTAGCTCATTATTCATAATATAATCAAGTTTTCAGATGGATATTATATTATGACTTTTATGACGGCTATCCTTATTCCGTAGCTCGTACTTTCCAGCTACGTATTTCTTTTCTCACCAGTTCTCCAACGGTGAGCTTACGATGGTTCTCCTTCTCGTCCCGCGTTGCAGGCCCTGTGGCGTACCCTCCGTAACCCGGCCGAGAGCATCTCTCACGTAGCGTACCGGGTGCTGGGGAAGTTTGGCGGCAGCAACAGGAAGATGCTGAAGGAGTCCCAGAGGCTGCATTACGTGGTGACTGAGGTCCAGGGGCCCAGCATCAAGGCGGAGTTCACTGACTGCAAGGCGTCCATACAGCTACCCATGGAGAAGGTCAGGGCACGCCGCTTCCCTCTAAGTAGTCTGCAGAACTCTGAGGAGTTGAATTTACTCTGTTACATTTCCTGAAATCCGACTGCAGACCTTTTTATACCCCTCCTCACCTTTTATATTGCAGTTTTAGAGAGAGAATTAATCGTGAAAGAGCTTGATATTCCCCATTATTGTGCTCCTCTGAGAGCTATATGTCCTTGTCAGGGGGGTTGTGAGAGTGTGAGCGAGTGAGGAGATATGAGTGTCTTCCAGGTAATTAAATTCATCTCCCGTTTCTCCTCCCTACCCCCAGTCAGTGATCATCAATCTAGTGCGGGCCACCATGACGGCATTATTTGCTCTCACTAATGGCTGCGCCTTCTTTCTGGCGATCCATCTGTGTGTTTGCCGTCATCACAGCAGCAGCCAGGACACACAGACTCCCCCGCGCTGCACACCCACATGCACGGGCTGCATAGTTAGTCATGAGTAGTAGTCACATTGAGGGGAGGGGGGGACTTCAAAGTGCTGTTTGGTGAATAGAAAGATGGAATAACAGCTTTAAGCATTAGGTGGAGCCTGGGCTGGCATCTGAGCAGCATACATTTCTTCTTCTCTTCGGCTGTTTATTCCCTTCCTTTATACAGGTCCTCTGAAAAAGCTTAGAGTGGAAAGTTTCCTGTGAAATATTTTTTCCTAGTAAAGGAGAACTTAGAATTCTCACCCCGCACAAAAATTCCTTAATTCCCGGAGGGATTTAAAAATAAATTGGCCCCCCCCCCCCCCCCCCCCCCCCTCCATCACACTCTCATCCTCCTCCTCGTCTCCTCTTTGTCCTGAGTGGCACTAATTAGTTCATTTTCTCCATTTTAAGTGCCGGGCTGCTGTGGCTTGTCAGCCAATAATGTAGCTATCATAATGACCTTTGCTTGTCCAGATGGCGCCTTGTGTTACTTCATGCAAATTAATCACATTTAACCGCTGTTCATTTCCCATATTAATAATATGGAATGTTGGCATTCTGCAAAACTTTTCAGTCTGAAATGTAAGATGCTGAGGATTTGTACGTGGCATGTATTCCCCTCAAGGCGATCGAGACGGCCCTCGACTGTCTGAAGAGCGCCAACACGGAGCCGTACTACAGACGGCAGGCCTGGGAGGTCATTAAGTGCTTCCTGGTGGCCATGACCAGCCTGGATGACAACAAGCACGCTCTCTACCAGCTCCTGTCGCATCCCAAGTGAGTCCACGCTCTCCGGGGGAACCGCCCAGCACATTGTCTCACCCCCACCTGCTGACATGCACTGCTTTCACCCCCTCCCCGCCCCTGCCCCAGTCACGTATCCGCCTCCCCGCCACACCGCCTCATCAATTCCACCTCAAGCGGGACTTGCTAATTACACTCACAGCCGCCTCCCCCCCCCCGCCCTGTGGCGGTTCTTCACTGCGAGGCGGAGACACATACAGGAAGGAGAGGGGGGGTGCAAGCTGGGTTAGTCACATTACCATCATTGATCCCCGGGCTAATTGAGTCCCCCCCCTGTCTGTTTATGCTGCGCCGTGGCCCCCACACCCGCCTGACATCAGGCATCCACATGAATACGTCTCGGTGGGGATAATGAAGTGTGTCAGTTATGATCAGGGGGCGGGCTCCCTCCCCATGTCTCCCTTCTCTCTCTCTCTCTCCCTCCAAAGATGTTCTACCTCTTTTATTTTCTCTTTCCGCCTTTAACTTTTTCCTGCCTCAGTATCGGGACACTGTAAAAGAACCCGTTTGCTTCTCAAAATGTCAACCGGGGAGAATGCAGAAGTGTTCAGAGTGGCAGACCCCCCCCCGGATGAGTGAAGGGCAATCTATCTGACATTCTCTCAGCTGCCCTCCCCCCCACATCCTCCACTTTTCCCTCTTTTAAAAGGCAATAATGGAATGAAGCGATCCGTCAGGTCTGCCCCTGGCGGGTGGCATTATAAAACACAAGCTCAAGCACGGAGAAAACAGCTGCTCAATCACACCAAGGCCCAGTGGCCTCCCGCCGCAGTAAATAACAAAAATACCAACGGGGGACAAAAGAGGGAGGCCGAGAAGCAGGACGGCGCGAGGGGCTAGGAGGACATTCGAGGCATTGGACATGGATCTGTGTTTTGAAATATTAGCCAACGGGCTGCTAAACACTGACCATTAAACGATTTTGGGGCTTTTAGCTTGGAGAAAGTTCAGTGCCATTGTCGCACATTGTTGTCATGTCCTTGTTCGTATGTAACCCTTTTAATTTATTGTGTGTGTCTCCCCCCCTCTCCCCTCCCCCTGTTAGCTTCGCCGAGAAGTGGATCCCTAATGTCATCATCTCTCACCGCTACAAAGCACAAGACACGCCGGCCCGCAGGACGTTCGAGCAGGCCCTGACGGGGGCCTTCATGTCCGCCGTGATAAAGGACCTGAGGCCCAGCGCGCTGCCCTTCGTGGCCAGCCTGATCCGCCACTACACCATGGTGGCGGTGGCTCAGCAGTGTGGTGAGGGGCTGCTGCTCTTTCTACTTTCGCTTTCTTTTTTGCCCCGAAATTGGCATCGATTCCAAGCTGCACTTTCCACTTTGAGTGTGTTGTAGAGACAATTTGTGCTCGTCCGAACATCACTGGCCATTTCTGCATTACTTAATATTTTATTTCAGACATTTAAAAGAGATGCATGGTTTATAAATCACAGCCATGTTCTTTCTTATGGTTAGACCTCTAACCAATCCGTGGAGGAGGAGCTTTATCCATTCAGCTCAATTCGTCAGTATCTGTTTAATAGAATACTCAGCCACACTGAGAGCTTTCTCATCATGTTTATTCCTCGTGAGGAAAATAATACAATTCATTTCCACCACAAAATACTCAGGAGACCATATGCATGCATTTAAGAAATTAACATCATGCATAGTTAGAAGACTATTTTTCTTTCCCTCGGGGGTTAAAACAAACGGCGGTTGTTTTTAGTTTAGTAACATCAAACAAACATTGAAAGATGTTACAACTGCGCTTGTGATCCCAGGTCCGTTCCTTCTGCCGAGCTACCAGCTGGGCAGCCAGCCGAGCACGGCCATGTTCCACAGCGAGGAGAACGGCTCGAAGGGGATGGATCCGCTGGTTCTGATCGACGCCATAGCCATCTGCATGGCGTACGAGGAGAAGGAGCTGTGTAAGATTGGGGAAGTGGCCCTGGCGGTCATCTTTGACGTCGCCAGCATCATCCTCGGCTCCAAGGAGAGGGTGAGCCCCTGAACCCCGAATCTAGTGATGTTTGCAGCGAACATCTGATATTCTTGACATGAAATAATAAGTGTTTTTTTCTAATTGTTTTCACATGTGATGGCGTTTAACCTTTAAACCACCCTGTGCTCTTCTCTTCCTCCTCAGGCCTGCCAGCTGCCCTTGTTCTCCTACATCGTGGAGCGTCTGTGCGCCTGCTGCTACGAGCAGGCCTGGTACGCCAAGCTCGGCGGCGTGGTGTCCATCAAGTTCCTCATGGAGAGGCTGCCGCTGATCTGGGTGCTCCAGAACCAGCTCACCTTTCTCAAGGCCCTTCTCTTTGTGATGATGGACCTCACGGGAGAGGTGAGAGAAAATGGCCGAATGGTCTACAAGTCAAAGGGGGTAGAAGTGACCCTGCAAACATTTGCACGGGTCCACTTCTTGTTGTTGTTGTTGTTGTTCACATGGTGTTTTACAAAGCTTCAGTGTAACAACTTGTGACTTTCCTCCTCTTGTTGCGCCGCTCCCCGCAGCAGCAGTGTAAAAGGACTTGACTTATTGATTTTCACAATGAGGTGTCCCTTTGTACTGCTGGCCATGGCTAAGACCACCCTGGAGCAGTGCTGGTGCGCTGTGCCACTCCGCTGAAGGACGAGGAAAAGAGCGAGGAGCTGCTGGCTGCTCAGGACAAGTCGTTCCACATGGTCACGCACGATCTGGTGCGCGAGGTCACGTCCCCCAACTCCACCGTCAGGAAGCAGGCCATGCACTCCCTGCAGGTGCTCGCCCAGGTCACCGGAAAGAGTGTCACGGTCATCATGGAACCACACAAGGAGGTGAAGAAAAAGTTCATGATCACTTGGCTGGACCTTTTTTGTCATCATCTCAGCCTCAGTCTTAGAGTAATGCAGCCTTTTAATCCGCACTCGTGTGTCGTTATCTTGGGCTCTCCGCTGCTTCAGGTTTTGCAAGATATGGTTCCTCCAAAGAAACACCTGCTCCGTCACCAGCCGGCCAACGCCCAGATCGGCCTGATGGAGGGCAACACCTTCTGCACCACCCTGCAGCCCCGCCTCTTCACGATGGACCTCAATGTGATGGAGCACAAGGTCTTCTACACCGAGGTATGCAAGGTGCAGAGATCCAGGGCCTTGATCAAATACATCTGTTTTTATGTTGACCTTTGACCCCCCTCGCTTTCTTTCCAGCTGTTGAACCTGTGTGAGACTGAGGATGCTGCTCTGATGAAGCTGCCCTGTTACAAGAGCCTTCCATCCCTGGTTCCCCTCCGCATCGCTGCCCTCAGTGAGTTGGCCCTTAAATATTCTTTATTTTATTCATTTGACCATCACATGTGTTGGAGTTCTTTAATTAATTAATTAATTTTTCTTCCTAAGATGCGCTTGCAGCTTGTAATTACTTGCCACAGTCCAGAGAGAAGATCATTGCCGCTCTGTTCAAAGCGCTCAACTCCACCAACAACGAGCTGCAGGAAGCGGGCGAAGCGTGCATGAGGAAGGTCAGTGCAACATCTCTTCGCTGGTAATTCATTTAGATTCTGATGACTGCATGTTACATCCTGACTTACCGTAAATACCTTTTTAAGTAGGCTGCATCTCTATGTTCATAGTCGTTAATCTCTACCAGCTGGTGTTAAACACTCATTACATCTTAGCGTCTTGGCTCTATATTAAAGGAAGATTGATTTGGGATTTTTTTCAAGATGTTATGTTATTGAAAGCTCAGACCTGTGTTACATCACTCAATCCAACTGAAATTCCCTTTGTGGAAAAAACAGCCTGCGACGTACTGACTTGACCTTTTGTAAATCTGGATTAAAGACTGTGCTTTGAACTGTGAGGCGGTGAATTCTTATGGCACCCTTTAAATCTTTTCTACAATTTCCAAAACCTTTCTTTAAATGGCCTTCTGTGTCACTTTACTAATTCATCTACTTGTTAAATTAGCACTTACGTTATTTAAGTGCTGTGCATTTTGTTTGTATCGTTTTTATTCTCTTGTTTTCCGTGCTTCTCTTCTTTCCTGTTGTCTATTATCTGCGCCTCTCGTTGCATTTGCCATCTGGGAGGTCCTTTGTTCTCTGAGATTTCCCCACCCGATTGTACTCCTAAGGATCTTCTCTGCTTTATCACACTCTTCATGAACCTCTCCTGCTTCTATTTATCAGAGTATCCAAACCCCCGTCACCTCTATCCATCTACCTCAAGCTCTTTGTCTCCTTTTCTTTCCATTTCTGTGTCCTTCATTTTATTTCTTTACCACCATTACTCCTTTTCACTATCCTTTGATTTTTTTTATTTATTTTTCTGCCGATCCAGTCTCTGCTGCCTCCATCCTTTCATCTCTGGCCTGGTTGCACTAATGAGCGTTGCCATGGCCCGATCGATACAGGATGGAGTGTTTGTTCTCTGCACTGAGAGGAAAATTAATGTGGCTGCCGTGCGTCATTCCCTCCCGTGTGTGTGAGGATGTGTGTGTGTGTGTGTTTATTTGGTGTTGACATGTGTGCTTGTTTATGGCTGCTTATGCTCTTTTGACTGCCTTTAGTTCCTTAATGGAGACACGAGGTGTAGAGAACAGTTGATAGGGCTGAAAAACCTGACCAGGTCTAATGTAGAGAAGTAGATCGTATTGGAAAGGTAATCAAAATGATTTGGTTCAAAGCATTTGGGGGGAAACAAATCTGGTCCCAGATAAATTATTTGCAACTTTTTCATGAATGGTTTGAAAATGTCGTAGCAAAACCTGCATATTCTGAGTTAAAAAAAAAAAGGATAATCTTTTGTATATTTGCAAACTCAACCGTTTCATCAAAGTATTTAAATTGCTAATGAAGTTCCCTTGTACAAATTTTAAAATATACCTATTTAAAAACCTATATTTCTATGTGTTTGATTGTAGTTCCTGGAGGGAGCCACCATTGAGGTGGACCAGATCCACACTCACATGCGGCCGCTGCTGATGATGCTGGGCGACTACCGCAGCCTGACGCTCAACGTGGTCAACCGCCTCACTTCTGTCACTCGCCTCTTCCCAAACTCCTTCAACGACAAGTTCTGCGATCAGATGATGGTGAGGAACCATCTCTTCCGTGTGCAACGGCACAGAATCCACTTTATTATCGCATCAACATTACGTCTAAATATCTTTTCCAAGTTTGGATGTCCTACTGAGAAATCTGCAGGTTTAAATTAAATGTTCACGTGTGTCGAATTATGTATGCACCTTGACTTTGTAATAGTTAATTATGCAAAAACATTTATTTAGTTTATTACAACTATGTCTACCAATCCTAGAGTCTTTATCTGGTATGCCACATGCATGCTGGCTTATTGCCGCTGGGTTCGTACCTTTTGGGTAGCAATGCAGTAATTTATCCATTAGTTCAGTAAACTTTGCAGGTGCCATGTTCTGCCTGAGCGCTGCAGAGACGCCTGCACACGTCTCAGTCTTGTCTCTCTCTCGTCTCTCTCAGCAACACCTGAGGAAGTGGATGGAGGTGGTTGTAATGACACACAAGGGAGGCCAGCGGAGCGATGTCAGTGTGAGTACAGAGCCCACAGATCTCCATCAAACACCTTTTACAGCTCTGAGACATTTAATACAAATGTGAATACGTCACTTGTGACATTTAGATTTTTGCTTTTGTCTACCATTTAATACAAGAACCTTTTGTTTAAATGCAATGAAGACGAAGCCTGTAGCACGCAGGGTCAATACAGCTGTCGACGGGCACGTTCTTTTTTTTTTTTTTTTTTTTTGTGATCCGTCCTGCCTAAACCAAACGGCACACGGGAATAAAAGGGCACGGAATGTATTCCACACCTCGCTGTGGCTTCCTCCCGGATGAGTTGTGAGTGGCCATATTACAATCAATGATTAATTAGGCGCCGGGCAGGCGGCGGTGGGCCCAGCGCCGCGTCTCCTCATTATCTCCCCGACAGATAACCTTGTAAAGGCAGAGAAAAGGTGGGAGAGAACGAGAGGGCAGAAACAAAAAACAGCTGCCGCTCCCCCACAGATATAAAACCCATCTTCTTCAGCCTTTCATGCGACTTCATCCCGCCCGCGTCTTTAAATGGTGCGTTTTAATTAGATGCAAATTGGCCCTCTGTCTATCCCTCCCCGTCCGGGGGCGAGGAGGGGGAGGGTGGGGGGGCGGCGGCTTTGTGCGTGTTGACAGGAAGGTTGGCAGTGAGGATAGAGCCGGGGTCAGGGATCAATTAGCCGAGCTCGGCAAAGACCGAAACTGGACAGGTAGTCGCAGGGCAGAGGGGGCATGTAGATGAAAGCAGGGGGGGGGGGTGAGGGGTGAGGGTCGGAGGAGGATGGGTGGGAGGAGGAGTGAAGGCCACGCATGAAAACGGAAAGGGTTTAAACTGAAGAAGCCAATCATCCGCCACAGATTCTGTGGCACTCGACTCCTCGCTCATAAAGGTTGCTGTTATCCGTCCGTCCCTTTCGTTTTTCACGCCGACCACTGAACAAGGTGGACGCAGCCGCACTAAATCCCTCCTCCTCCCCCACAATGGCTTGCTGAATGTGATTCATTGTCCTCCCGTTGCGGTACAGCCTGCGCCTCGAAGGGCGTTGAGGTGAGATGTGACCTGGTCACAGAGAGGGTCGCGACGCGTCGGCGACTCTCCGTGATTTCAGCTGAGTTGAACCCAATGTTGTGCTGGTGACTTGAACCCATGTCGTGGTAGTGGTGCTGGTGGTGGATCCCCCCCCCCCTCTCTTTCTCTCCCTCCCTCCCTCCCTCTGTGTCCGTCGTCCATGTGGTCGTCTTCCGAAACGCGGCTGTCGCCTCCACCTTTTGTCTGACCTCACGTTGTGACTGCTTTAGGAGTGTCCAGTCCTCCCCATGTCCCCCTTTTGACTTCTGTCGTCCTGACTTGTCCTCGTCTTTCTGCAGTGGCTCTACGTCAAGATCATCATCATCATCATCATCATCCTTCCTAAAGAAAAAGTCACCCACTCCCTTATTTCCTCTGCTCTCTGACTCTTCTTCTCCAGGAGATGAAGATCTGTTCTGCCATCATCAACCTTTTCCACCTGATCCCAGCTGCACCCCAGACTCTGGTCAAGCCTCTGCTGGAGGTGGTCATGAAGACCGAGAGGGCCATGCTCATAGAGGTAGGACACCATCTCCACTCGCGTGTTTCTTGGGCTTACGCTTAAGGATGTTCCAGCTTGAGTCATTGACTTTTCATAGGTTAAGTAGGCGATGCTTGATAGTTTTAAGATAAATATTTGAAAACTCGAATGGTACGTTTATCGTGTGGAGATCTCAGCTTCTTAGCACAGGTTTTAACAGCGCAGTGCATTTGCTATCATGAATACTTACCGTCTTTCCTCTTTTCCTCCGGTGCTCCACTCATCCCTCCTGCGCCAGGCCGGCAGTCCTTTCAGGGAGCCTTTGATCAAGTTCCTGACGCGCCACCCATCTCAGACGGTGGAGCTGTTCATGATGGAGGCCACGCTGAACGACCCCCAGTGGAGTCGCATGTTCATGGTCAGACACCGGCAGCTCGAAGCTACTTTTAAGGCTTTTTATTGAAACGTGTGCCATTTAAAACGGCATTTTGCCGCCGCAGTAATTGGCTCTAATCGGGTTATGACGGCTGTTTCGAGGCTCAGTGGTCATGTTGCGACCAAATTGAGATGGAGCACTCAAAGTCGAAAAATATGAATTTCCTGCTGCTTTAAATGTTTTATACTTAGTGTGTGTGTGTGTGTGTGTGTGTGTGTGTGTGTGTGTGTGTGTGTGTGTGTACACAGAGTTTTCTGAAACACAAAGATGCCAAGCCACTGAGAGACGTTCTGGCTTCTAACCCCAACCGCTTCGTCCCTCTGCTGGTTCCCGCTGGCACGGCGGCGACCGTTCGCCCCGGCTCTCCCTCCACCACCACGGCCAGGCTGGACCTGCAGTTTCAGGCTATCAAGGTATACGAAGCATTTCCCTCCCAATGTATGCATACTCCTAATTATCAATATGGAGATACACAACCGTTATTTTATTATCTTGATATTTCTGCACAACCCGAATCTTAATATTACAAAGCTCTCAGTAATTCCACTGCGTGACCTCCGGCCGGTTCCGTCGTTCGTCCTTTTTCTGCTCAGATCATCAGCATCATAGTGAAGAATGATGAGGGCTGGCTGGCAGGGCAGCACTCGCTGGTCAGTCAGCTGAGGCGAGTCTGGGTCAGTGAAGCCTTCCAGGAGAGACATCGCAAAGACAACATGGCCGCCACCAACTGGAAGGAGCCCAAGCTGCTGGCCTTCTGCCTGCTCAGCTACTGCAAGTATGGACTATTCAAACTTCTAATGGGGACGGAAATTCACTAAACATTGGTCACATCTTCTGCAGGCTGAATTTATTACCCCTCTTGTCTCTTCAATAGGCGGAACTACTCAGAGATTGAACTGCTGTTTCAGCTGCTACGGGCCTTCACAGGTCGCTTCTTATGCAACATGACCTTTCTGAAGGAGTATATGGAGGAGGAGATTCCCAAGAACTACTCCATTGCCCAAAAGCGAGCCTTGTTCTTCCGCTTCGTTGAGTTCAATGACCCCCACTTCAATGATGAGCTTAAAGCTAAGGTACGTACAGAGAAGCAAAGTCAATGTGTGGAATTATAAATCCACCCGGGTTGATGATGTTTAGTTAACACTAAAACCAGCTGACCGGTCCTCTATTTGAAATGAATTGATGGATGCATTTCAATGTGTTTTGGCACAATGTGAACATTTTTACTTTTACCCATAATATCGGAAAATGAATTTATTGAAATAAACGATTGATTTGTAGCCACGTTTCTGGACATCATACATGATGTTTCTAAATTCTTTAAGCATCTCCTCAGCTTCCCTCCTTTGCTTCCCCAGCGTGGGACCTGATCCGTGTGACCTTTCTGGTCGCGCGTTTCCAACCAGAAGGTTATTGTCTGGCCCGAGACCCTCAGAGGCTCACAGATGAACGCTTTCGTCCTCTCTACCTGTCCTGCTGCTGAAGCCATTACAGTCATTTGGACTGATTTTTAATTAACATCAGTCTCCCCCAATTAACATCAGTCTCCCCCAGTGCACACACACACACACACACACACACGCGCAGACACATTTAGGGCACACAATCTGGCCGCAGAAGCCGTCAGCGCTGCTGTTGAGTGCAAACGGGTCAGTGGGAAAGGCCCGACCCGGCCGCCCCGCTGTCGCACGTAGCCAGATGACCGTGTGACAAGAAACGCACAATTGGCAAGTGCAATAAACCCACACTCCCCATTCCAAGGACATACACTTGTGTTGATGATGCTGGTCACACCAACCCGCCCTTTTATTGTTTTTTTTTCATGGGCACTATGCACTGCCTCAGCGTCAAATGGACTTGTGGGGAAAAGATGAAATGGAGGCAGGAGAAGACACCTCGTTGTGTCTTTCCAGGCCTGCATTTTAACACCCAGCCGAACAAAAAGATTAGCCCCTCGGATACCTCAACCCCCCCCGTCGTGTTTCTGCTCATATTGTTCTCCGGCACCTTAATTGTCCTCCTCACATGCGCAGCAGCTGTTAGCTGCATGCGGGACGGAGCGACACGCAGAGAAGATCGCCTGTGTTTATGTGTTCATGTGTGCGACTGCTTTGGTGCGGCAGGGTGACATTTAAATAATTGCCGTTAGCATTTTCCCAGAAGCTTAATATCACAAGGAAGTGTGTGTGTGCGTGTGTGTGTGTGCGTGTGTGTGTGTGTGCCGCGCATGCACGTTGTCAGTGCGCCTGGGAGGTAGACGGGGGCTCAGGTCCGCGCACCGCGGGAGGCTCTCGCGGTGTTTCGCACAGAGAAAGGAGCGGGACGGCAGCAGCGCATCGTCCACGACGCCTCGGACCGATCTCGTGCTGCTCGCGCTTTGTTTCTTTTGTTAAACCCAAACAAAAGTGTTCAAGCAGACAAACAAAGTGTGCAAAATTCATGAAGCTCCGCGTGTTTGCGTCACGTTCCGTTTCTTTTAATGACATTTTTCTAACATTATTTAGTAGGAAGTAACAGTGTAATCATAAACAAATCTGACTGTGTACAGCATGCGTGAATTATGTTCTAAGCTGGAACATATGCTGCCACAGCTCCCTCTCCACTGAGCGGTGCCCTGTCCCTCCCCAGGAGGGATTGGACAGGGGGGGGGTTCATTCACAGATACCAGCTTCTTTTAATAAACGCAGTCGTTATCTTCGTTGTGGTTGGGTTATTCTGCTGTTCACCAGCTGATCGAGCCTTCGTCTTCATCCGCGGATCCCTACGTACACTCATTACATTACAACACACTCCCTGCAGGTTTCGTGTTTGTAAATCGTATTTTCATCAGTCATTAAGATTGTATTTGTTTTTTTTCTCCATTAAGAGAACGAGTTAGGAGAGAACGAGTGGTTTTGTTCTCCAGTAGTTTCAAACTTTTTATTTTTATGTTTTTATTTTATTCTGTTTTGCAGATTTTGAAAGAACACAATGATTTTCTCCTTTTTTGGAAGGTGTGCTATCATTGATGATATATGGTCTTAATGGCGATCATCTCTCATTAAATTCAAATCAGCGTGTGTTTTTTCCCTTTTCCGTCTCTTAGGTGTTGCAGCACATCCTCAATCTAGCGTTCCTGCACAGCTTCGAGAAGGGGGAAGGTGAGCAGCTGCTCGGACCCCCCAACCCCGAAGGGGACAATCCTGAAAGCATTACCAGTGTGTTCATCACAAAGGTACACACGCACACGCTCGCAGCGGTTCTTCTTCTCCTTTGTTTCCTCCGTCAGTCTCCCTGATTTCATTACCTGCTGCATTTCCTCTCATAATGTCTTATCAGTCCAGCGCGTCTCGGCCGTCATCCATTGTTTGCTACTCAGTCGGGTTCGTCCTCTCCTGCAGTCTGCACACATTCACGCCGTCATTCCCTCTTTCTCCTCTCCCTTTTATCCGTCTCTTCCATCCGTCTTTGTGTTCCTCCCTCTTCCCGTCACATTCATTCATGGGGCCGACTCTGATTCCTGGTGTAAATGCCACGATGTGCTCATATTAAAGGTCACCGTGTCTGTGCTGTGGCAGATCTCATCACTGACTAACAGCAGTCCTAATGGCCGCTAATGACTCTTCATCGGTCTAGTTAAAACTAATCCTACTAATCCCCCCCCACCCCCAGCAGGTGTTCTCTGCTCGCTCCCCCTCTACAGGGAAATCAGTTCGACTTCCAAGAGGTTTTTGATATTTGAAAACGCCTATTTGACTTCTTTGAAATGTAATTTTGCAAAGGGAATATTACAGCGGTATCGTCAATTCAAGCAAACAATTTATTAAATACAATGTATATCCGTTTCTTGTTTATGTAAATAAAGTGCATCAGGTAATACTTGTATTGACCTCTGTTGGCTCCTGGTGAGAAACATGGGCTTTCATATAATACAGAAAATTACTTATTGATTAGTTGCTTAGTGTACCGTGGTAACCCCTCACTCAGCAATCTCCCCCAACCCGCTCAGGTCCTGGACCCGGAGAAGCAGGCCGACCTGCTGGACTCTCTGCGGATCTGCCTGCTGCAGTTCTCCACCCTGCTGGTGGAGCACGCGCCCCACCACATCCACGACAACAACAAGTCCCGCAACAGCAAACTGCGGCGCCTCATGACCTTCGCCTGGCCGTGCCTCCTGCCCAAAGCCTGCGTGGACCCTGCCTGCAAATACAGTGGACACTTACTTCTGGCCCACATCATTGCAAAGTTTGCCATCCACAAGAAGATTGTGCTGCAGGTGAGAAGGCCCAGTGGAGCGGGGGATCCAGCTTGACACAGAGCTTCAAGAGAGTAAAGATAGTAAACGTGTGTAGCGGGCGTAAAATCCCAGAGTGAGCTTGTAAAATACCAAAAAAACATCATGTTTCAATTGAAATCCTCTGATGTTTACAAAAAAGGAAAATCAGAAACTTCTAGTGAGTTGGGTTCGTTTGCGCATTTGTCTCATGTTCCACCCACTTTATAATATGAACGTATAGGAACAACCTTTCCTGGTTGTGCAGGGTCTTCCACCAGCCTGCTGAAAGCCCCCCACGATGAAGCCCCGGGCCATTGTACGGCAGGCCATGGCCATCCTGACCCCCGCAGTGCCGGCCCGCATGGAGGACGGCCACCAGATGTTGCCCCACTGGACTCGCAAAATCATCGTGGAGAGAGGGACACACGGTGCCGCAGCTGGTCCCACATCCTGCATCTCATTGTGCAGCACTTTCGGGTGAGCACGCACGTTGTCAATAGTGCACCACCTGTTTCCCTCCAGCCCATAACTGATGAATGCATGCATTCGGCAGGGTGGGGCAGATGGAGCAATCACAACTTGACTGGTTTCGAGTCATTTATAATATTCTGATGCAGTTCGGGGTGAAATGCGCTCTGTGGTCTGAAGGCGACCAGAGTCGAACCCTTATTTATACTCATTTAGGGTCCGAGCTGCCACTCTGAATTTTCGGCATTTGTTGCTGCTGCCTGCTCCACCCTCATGTGGCTTCGGCAGCTCCAGTGCCCCCCATGGTGGAGGGGGGGGGGGGGGTGGGGTAGGAGCTGTTGAAAAAGCTATTTTTGCTGATTTTCTGAGTGCCACTGAAATAAATGATTGCCCTCTTAACCAGTCCTGATGGGATTGGATCGTCATCACCAAAAGTTGGGATTATTTTGTGTGGCCCATTTAACAGTTTCCACTTTACCATTCGGTTCACTGAATTTAAGCTTCATATTGGGCGTAGTCGGTTGGGGTCTGTGATCACTCATCACCGGGCGCCGCAGCTAGCGGTAACCGCCCGCTGCCTGTTTTTAATCGCATCGATGCAGATGCACCCTTTCCGGTGGGTGACCGAAGTGTGAGAACGTGCACAGCAGTTACGGGCTTCATGTTGGCCCGTCTCACTAAACCTCTAAAGACGCTTCCTGCCCTCACGCTCCTTCGCCGCCTCGCCGGTCAGAGAGCGGCCTGTCATTTAGCAGACGAGCTTTTCCTCGGCGCCGCGCTCTTGTTTCCCTGACAGGCCGCTCTCACTGGGCCTGATGACTGATCTAATGTAATCACATCAGCATAATTACGCTGGGGAGGAGATAATGACACAGATGAGAGAGTCCGTGCACGTGGAGCGTGTGCACGTGTCTGATATAACCAAATCGAGAGCGCGTGTGTGTGTGTGTGTGTGTGTGTGTGTGTGTGTGTGTGTTTGTCAGTGTGCACACGTGATGGACAGGGCTTAGCCACTCTGTCATCAAGGGGCTGTGAAGCTCCGCTCTATCGACTATAATTACCCGCAAAGTGAGAAGCTTTAATATTCTTTGACACTGGCGACAGCCCTCAGATACACATCTAATCTCTCGCTCTTTGTCTGCGTGCGCCTCTCAGTCCCACTGCAGTTTTTGCGGCAGGAGTAAGTGACTCTGGAGTGTGACGCTGGAGGGTGCGACTTCTCGTGGATGAGTGTGTGTGTGTGTGTGTGTCATCACGTCCTTGAGACTAAGTGGGAATACGACTCCAGAGTTCGCCTCTTCTGACTCGAAGTGATTGACGACCCTCTTAAACTTTGCATGCGTTATCGCTCCAAAATCCACAGCAAAGCAAGCGAGCAATGAATCTGATTCACTTTTTATTTTCCTTACCATTCATGATGGGCGGGAAGACAAAGCAAACGCGAGGCGGAATTAACCTGATTATCCCTTTAGGGAAATAAACAAACCGTCTTCTTGAGAAATGTTAAGTTTGGTTTGGGGAAATTAATCGCGCTCCTTAATTACTTTTTGGTGTCTGTTAAGGCAATCGCAGCCGGTCTCGTTTACAGGGGAAGATACCGACAAGGAAGTCCATTTACTACGAACTAAAAGAAACATACACATATGTGTTCAGCATCTTTTCAGTCCGTGTGTGTTTGGCTTCTCACTCAGGCAAGTTGGAAGGACGAGCCTTTCCTTGTTTTCTTTTTTTGAAGAAGGTTTTTGTTGATTGCCTTTTTTTTTTTTGTTGTTGTTGTTTTTTTTCACTTGCGCATTTTGCAAAACGTATCATTCTTTCCCTCCTCTTCAATACTTTCTGCAGAGTGGAGGCTCAAAAAACAATGGCCCAAGCTGCGTTGGCATTTGATTTAGAGTGCCGCTGTCATCTGTTGATCCTTGCTGTCTGTCAACTAACTGCAGATGGTGCTTTGGGAAAATAAAATTCAGACCGTTTCACAAAATAGATATTACGTTTGTTGAATTGCTAGCTTGTGCTACAGTCTAACTCATTCCGACACCCGTCCTCCAGGTGTACTACCCGGTGCGCCACCACCTGGTGCAGCACATGATCAGTGCAATGCAGCGCCTGGGCTTCACCCCCAGTGTGACCATAGAGCAAAGGAAGCTGGCGGTGGACCTGGCCGAGGTGGTCATCAAATGGGAGTTACAGAGGATCAAAGACCAGCAGGTGTGTGTTCATGGATTGCCATAAATGTACAAGCACATCAGAGATCAGGAGAAGACGAGAAGCCTGTGCGTCACACTGGTCTCATCAACGTTACTCCTCAACGTCGGGTGCAGAGAGTTTTCGTGTGACATTTGAAATGTTGTCTGCATGCATGACGTGCTCATTTCCCTCCGTAAACATGTTCACTGATGGTCTCTGTTTGGGCTCGGCAGCCGGAGTCCGAGGCCGAAGTGGTTGCCGGCGGTGAAGGGACCAGTGGCGGTGCTGTAAAAAGAGGACTGTCTGTGGATGCCGCCGCCCCTGCCGCCGCCGCCACCAGCGCCGCCACCACCGCTGCCGCCGGGCAGGATGTCAAGAGGTTCCGCACGGCCGCTGGAGCGGCCTCCGCGGTGAGCTCGGCAGCATTTCTCCTCGTGGCCGCTCACTTTATCTGCTGCGCGAGCTTTGGTTTCCCATAGATTCATTCTATATAACAAAAATATTGTACCGGTTACAAACGCGCTCAGTGAAAGTGCAAACGGGTGTTTTTAGGTCAGCCAGAGAAGATTCTGCCTAATTGTTCCACGTGTAGCTGGAAGTGATGATCCCTGCTGCGTTTCATATTTCTTTAAAAGCTCCTTGCCGCATTATAAAGCTGTCAGAACGTTATTGTATCTGTCTGTTTCCCTTTTAAAAGTTTACACTTTTCCCTGGTTAGCAGCAGTTATTTTTTTCTGCATTTAAGCAAAACACCGTCGTCGGGGCGCAGGGGGTTGAGCGGGTGCGCTGGGCACCGCAGGGTTGGTGGGTCGAGTCCCGGCCGCCCCATGTCTCAAGTCGAAGTGTCCCTGAGCAAGACACCTAATTGCTCCTCGGGCAAAATGTAAAAAGCCATCAGTTTAAAGTGTAATGTAAGTCGCTTTGGATAAAAGCGTCAGCTAAATGACCTGTGATGTGATGTAATAATGTAATTTACAATGTGCGCATGTGTGTTTTCCCAGGTGTTTGGCCGCAGCCAGTCCATGCCGGGTACGGAGACCATGCTCACCAAGCCCGTCGAGAAACAACACACGGACACCGTGGTCAACTTCCTCATCAGGATCGCATGCCAGGTAACGACTACGCTCACTGTTCATCCGACCATCTCTGTTATATAATAAAACGCTATGAAGAAACATTGCTGCATGAATGAGCTATGAACTGTAGTATGTAAAATGAAGACGCGTTGTCACGTGATGATGATAATGGTACCCCCCCCCCCCCCCCCCCTCCTCCTGTCCTAGGTGAACGACAGCACCAATGTGGCCGGCTCTCCGGGGGAACTGCTGTCCCGCCGCTGTGTCACCCTCATGAAGTCGGCCCTCAGGCCCGACATTGGTCCCCGCGCTGAGCTCAAGCTGCAATGGTTCGACAAGCTGCTCATGACGGTGGTAAAACAGCCTACTACGCCTTCTGAGGGTGGGCGCGCTATCTGGTTCACACCAAGCCCGTTCCCGCCGGGGTGGGGAGAATATGGTGTAAACATAATTATGGGAGATCCCCCTCGGGGAGAGCTTATGTCCGTTGATCACAATTGCCCCTTTTTTTTTCTATTGGGGTTGTGAGAGACAAAAAAAAAAATCGATGTGAAAAAAAAAAAGGAGCCATGTATTTGAATTCCGAGGGTATATTAAAAAAATGTAAATATTCAGGCTTGTTGGTTCAGCTGAAAGCGACAATGGAAAAAGGAGAACTACTGCGTCTCTGCTGTTGTCTTTGCCAGGGACGGAGGTTCCTCCGTCCCCGTTTAAGCTGCGTCTTAGTGTTTGCTCCAACGCCTCCGAGTCCTTTTGTCTGTTATCAGCAACACATGAAGAGAGGCGCCAACCACCATAATGACAAAATAATGACAGTGGTGAGATAACGGGAGTCTATCCGGTTTGCACTTTGCCTTCTCGTTCACCCCCCCCCCACCCGCCTGCATCCTAAACCCCTCATCCCTGCCTTCTGTGTGCCCCCCCTCTCCTCGCCTCTCCCTCGTGCCCCCACTTCTTTCTCTCATCTCTGCGTTTCTTTTCTCCTCGGGCCTCTTATCGCAGCCGCTCTCCTTGCTCTCTATTTTTATCTTTTGCTCCTTCTCCTTCTCTACTCGTCTCTTTGGTCGGATTCAGCGCCACTGTTCAGGCAAGGTTATCGTCACGTACTTCCCCCGCTTCCTTCTGGGGATCACTGCATCGGTCGCGCCTTTCTCTCTGTCTACACACACACACACACACACACCAGCACCAATCATCCCCTCCAGATCCCAGGGGGGTGGTCTGACAGACGAGGCTTTCTCTGGGTCTTATGCAGATGCACACAACACGGGGCCCCTTCCCCTCGGGATCATGCTCTACCTGCAGAGCCGACTAATGAACAAAGCTCAAAATCGGATTACCTTTTATTGTCCCATTGTACTGGCGTGGCAGCGATTAGGAGTCAGGAGGGGCGTCGGAGGGGCAAACGAGGAGAGGCAGGGGACAGACGCGCAAAAAACATGCACGCAATTGGATGCCCGCAAAGCGTGCACAGATCTGCATGAGCCCCAGAGACGTGGCCCCATTCTCTTAATAGTGCCGAATCAATACTAGCCTAATATCCACCAGGAGCTTTGTCACAAGAGTCACCTTGTTCGTTAGCCAAGATTAGGACTGTGGATTTGTACTAGATTATCCTCTTGGCCTCGTACTCGCTCCAAACCTTGATTGCAATTTAGTCAAAATTAGGGCCCGGTGTCGGCCATTGATCTTCGGTTTAGCAGCAATCACACTGGTGGGAGAAATACCTCAGTGTGCAGAATATTGATCTCTTGAGTTGTCCATCTGTGTGATAAAAACCTGGATGAATTTGCACGATCATTTGTCTTGCTTTGTTTGAGAGTTGTAGGCTTGGGTCTACGGGGACGAGCCTTAATATTCTCTCAATGGAGGTCAGATGCATTAAGAGAGATGATGATGGGAGACACACACATAACAAGTTAAATATATATGGTCAATGCCCATTATGATTTCACACCGGTGAGATCAATGAATCCTATTTATCCACTGGTATTAACTGCCCTCATATGGTCTGCCCTCCCCCGTTGACTTTCCTCCTTATCCACACACTCGTTGTCCTCTCCTCTCAGGAGCAGACTGCCCAGGCTAACATCTCCAACATCTGCACCGGGCTGGAGATCCTCTGCTTCCTGCTGACGGTGCTGCAGCCGCCGGCCGTCTTGGCCCATTTCAAGCCCCTCCAGCGGGGCATCGCTGCATGCATGACATGCGGCAACACCAAAGTCCTGCGAGCCGTCCACTCCCTCCTCTCTCGCCTCATGAGCATCTTCCCCACTGAGCCCAGTAAGTCGCTGGTGCTTTGTGCCCAAATTGCACTGCAAGTCTGAGGAATTGTTAACTTCTTAGGATTCTGCCATGTGCTAAAAGAAAGGCATTGGTTTAGATACCCGGGCTCCTCCTTGTGTGAAGTAAACCCTTCTCTTCCTCTCCAGGCACATCGACAGTGGCGTCAAAGTATGAGGAACTGGAGTGTCTGTATGCCGCTGTGGGGAAGGTCATCTATGAGGGACTCACCAACTACGAGAAGGCCACGAGCAACACAAACCCCACACAGCTGTTCGGTGAGCCCGCTCCCCCTTTTCTTCTTCTCCACCAGCGCTTCCGTCACCCTTGTGCTCCATTACCTGCACTCTGTTGCTCACACACCCCGTCAGTCGCTTTGCCCCCACAGAGGTTGAGCTTCTTTTCATATTGTTCCGTCGCTCATTCTCTTTTCCCCCTTGTTTTTGTCTCGCAGGAACACTGATGATCCTGAAGTCGGCCTGCAGTTTTAACGCCAGCTACATCGACCGCCTCATCTCCGTGTTCATGCGCTCGCTGCAGAAGATGGTGCGTGAACACCTGAGCCCCCAGCAGGCCAACCCGGGGGTCACCGAAACCAGCACGGGTACGCGGAAATTAATCTGCCGGGAAAATTAACATACAACATCAATAACTATCACACGCATGTCTGTGGTGGTTCGAGTCACCGTCAGAGCACCACGGATTTCCATTTAACATTTAATTATCATACCGATCTGACGTGTACACGTTGGAGATGCTCGTATGTTGACCTTCCTCAGACTTGCTGTAATTAGAGCTCAGATATCACCGGTATCTCAGCGACGCCTGGCTCCTTAACAAAGGCTCTGTCAAAGGTGAAATATCCACGACCCCCCCGTTTGTGTTCTCAATAGCTGCGATGAGAGTTTCACAGAGAGTGATGCTCCACGTGAGACCGATTTTTCACACGGATCTGAAAGGGGACACCCCCACGCGGCAGGCAGCACGGGGGTGAAGAGGGCGACTACACCGAATACTTTGAGGCTCCCTGTAATTCTCTGACCTCGGCTTCACCAGATTTATCGTAGTCTGCACTACGTTATTCCTGTTGCTGCTTCTCAGAAGGGAGGCAATGGCTGTAAGATTCTATCAGGGCTTTAAATTGCCCCCTAATGACTAATTTACCCTCTACTGGGGGCAGCTAGTTTCGGAGACCAAAGGCTGAGTGACGAGGCCGCTGTCCCTTCGATTGTTCTCGACTGGCTGCTCATTGTGAAGTAGTTGTTCTGAAGCTGTGTATACACAAGTAACTCACGACCAGCTGCACTGTTGCGTTTTAAAATGATTTCATTCAGCTGTGTACTTGCCGAGCTGGCATCGAAACACAATAAACTCTTTCCATCGTTATTGATCTCGTATTGAACGGCTTTCTTGTTTCTTGGTAGTGACCAGTGAGCTGGTAATGCTGAGTCTCGACCTGGTGAAGACTCGTCTGTCCGTCATGAGCATGGAAATGAGGAAGAACTTCATCCAGGTCATCCTCACCTCGCTGATTGAGAAGTCACCTGACCCCAAAATCCTCCGCGCTGTCGTCAAAATTGTGGAAGAGTGGATCAAAAACAATTCTCCGATGGCTGCAAATCAGGTAAGCGCCGCTCAGAATGTCACAATCTGACAAATGTAACGTGTGCAAAGAAAAGGCCTGATTCAGCAGATCACGTTTTCCTTCTCTCATTGGCTCTGATTGATTTTGAATCCACCGCGGCTCCTTTTCTAACCGACGCCGCTACTTTCCGCCTCTCCTTAGATGCCCAACCTGCGGGAGAAGTCCATCCTGCTGGTGAAGATGATGACCTACATAGAGAAGCGTTTCCCCGATGAACTTGAGTTAAATGCCCAGTTCCTGGACCTCGTTAATTACGTCTACAGGTAATTACCGCCATTCATCACATGGCCAAATGGCCGTGCCGCTGATGCCGCGCCACCCTTGCATCCATCTTAGACGCAGGGGATGAAGGGCGGGGGGGAGACGCGGGGACGTTGGGTCAAGGAGCAACGGGGAATGAAGACGAAGAGGACGGGGGTTTGAAGCATGAGGTGTACCATCCATCTTTATTTTTCTAAGACCCGAGTGAGGCTGAGTTAAGATAGCTGATGCTAGACGGAGTCACGTGGAGGAAGAGCGTCTCGTGAGCTCAAAGGAAACGCTGCGCAGGAGGGGCTTGAAAGTCGGCAGGTGGCAGTGGAGATGGATAACGAGCCGGGGTCTCCGCGGGGCAGCTGTAGTATCCGCACCACGCAAACCTCTGTCGGGACCCCCAGTAGGTGGGGGCCACGGGGGAACCGACTCTGCTGCCTTTCTTTGTCTTTCTGTCTGACGCACGCATTCAATCAGCCAAATGTACCCGGCAGCCCATCTGCTCTTTGTGTCAAAAGGTTTTAATGCGAGCAGTAAAGCCGTGATGGACAGTTCGGAGGGATAATGTAGAGATAAAGCAGCTGTGCCACAACAATGTGTGATCAAGAGAACGCCGCAAACGGGGCCAATGTGCAGCTGTGGCAGCCTGGCCCTTTTGTTGTTTTTGTCCCAGCCTCCCTCTCTCCTTCTGTTCTGTGAATCGTACCCACGGGGCCCATTTAGTGGGAGCGGGATGTTGTAGAAATGATGACATTTGTTATTTAAGTGTTAAATGCATGACTGTTGGTGCTTTACTAACTGCGGCGGAACCACATCAAAGATACTTAATTCTGCAGAATATTTGGCGTTGTCTGCCGTCTCCCCGGCGCCGCTTCACCACGCGGCTGTTTGGAACATTGCCCCCTGATTACTTTTTGTGTAACGTTAAATTAACTGCAACGCTATATATATATATTATATATATGTAGAAAATAACCAAATCAGCTGTAAATAACTTTCCTAATATTATATACTGGGTATTTTTCCTGCTTCTCGAGTGTGTGACAACATGCAGGCGAGGTTAATTGTTGCGTCTTGATTAGCCACAGGTGCGAATGTGAATCTATTCAGCATCAAACGCATATTTTATCTGTCGCATTACTCAGGGACGAGAGCCTTTCAGGAAGTGACATCACATCCAAGTTGGAGCCCGCCTTCCTCTCGGGGCTTCGCTGCACCCAGCCGCTGATCAGAGCCAAGTTCTTTGAGGTGTTCGACTCCTCCATGAAGCGGCGCGTGTACGAGAGGCTGCTCTACATCTGCTGCTCCCAGAACTGGGAGGCCATGGGCAGCCACTTCTGGATCAAACAGTGCATCGAGGTGAGCCGGGTGCCGCCTGCCAGCATCGAAAATCATACGCCTTTGGATCAAAAGTAGTTTGATATCAGCTTCCCTCATGTCATAACCGCCATGACACTCTGAGTCACTCTCACTGACTCTTTGCACCGTGTGTGTGTGTGTGTTTTAGCTCCTGCTGGCAGTGTGCGAACGAAACACCACCATCGGCACCAGCTGCCAGGGATCCATGCTGCCGTCCATCACCAACGTCATCAACCTGGCCGACAGCCACGACCGCGCCGCCTTCGCCATGGCAACGCATGTCAAGCAGGAGCCGCGTGAGAGTCAGACCAGCGAGACCAAGGAGGAGGTGGGACCGGCAAACGGACTCTCTCTCACACACACACACACACACACACCATCAAGAGACACACTCGCTTAGATTAGCACGTCATCCTGTTATTGGCTGTGTGTCACATATTGTTGTCCTGAGAAGAGATTAAACGCTTCTTAGCTGCCAAAACCCTCCCAAAAGACCAACATCTATCTTTTTTTTGTACCAGGATGTGGAGATAGACATAGAGTTGGCACCAGGTGACCAAACCGCCATCCCCAAGACCAAGGAGCAGGCTGAGAGGGATGCAGGCAACCAACTGCACATGCTGACCAACCGCCACGACAAGTTCCTCGACTCCCTACGGGAGGTCAAGGTGAGATGGGCTTCACTCTGAGAAAACTGCATTTTTAATTTGTGTAATTTAACCATATCGTTTCACATTTTCCCTAATCTAGTTTTTATGACGCAGCACCGCGCTGATTTTCATTGTAGCTATAAAATGGAGACGGAATCTTTTGACGTCTAAAATCGGTTGAATTCAATTAAGAAGCCATTAGGATGGTAAATGAGCAGCGCTGTCGAGTCCCGAGGACAGGGAAACACTGTCTTGCTGAGTCAGCAGCTGTCATCTTCTCCCCCCCCCAATCTCCCGTGTTAGACGGGGACGCTGCTGAACGCTCTGGTCCAGCTGTGTCACATCTCCACGCCGCTGGCTGAGAGGACCTGGGTTCAGCTCTTCCCTCGCCTCTGGAAGATCCTCTCTGACAGGCAGCAGCACGTGAGTGGGTCTCGATGTCTGTCATCATCATTACACGTAGCGAGGTTACTTGAGTTTTGTGCAGACGGGACGCTTTGATAGAGTATGTACAAGTACGCCGTTTGTTTGAGGTAATGTGTGTAACCATTGTAGTGTTCAATAGGGAAATAAAAAGCTTTCTGGGATTAACATCCAGCTTTGTAAGCAAATATTTCATTTGTTAGGTATTGCTAAAACATTTAAATTGCATCTATAGTCAAACAGAATGAAAGCGACGGCAGTACTTTTACCGGCCCCTTGTTAAGGAAATCCACAATGATAATTTGTTGAAAATGGAATGATTGCTGGTGCGCAGGGTTTATTTCTTTAGTGGGGGATTATTACACGGCAGTTATAGAAGAGCATATTCTTCTTAGGAAGGAATTTGATGTCACGCTGGCCTCCTCCACCACCAGGCTAATTAAAGGGACTATCAAGGCCTTCATTATTCCATGCTGTCAACGGGCTGTGGAAATTATATTCATTACCAAATACATAATTTATTTCTGAGTGTGTGTCACTCATGATTATCAGGGCACTAAGTCAGCGGTCACACTCAAAGCCCATTTAGTCCAAATGTGGCCGCTCCCGAGAGCCCCTGATTGAAAAGAGTTGTCCTGTGCGGTTTAAACAAGCAAGTCACGCTATTACCTGAAATAAAAAGTTCTTAACAAGGTGCATTAATTCATTAAGTCGGGTTTGCTGCCTTGTGAATACACAAACGGGCAGCATACAACATGTCGTCTCACTTTATTTTATTTTCCGGCGTTGCATCCCATGCATGCAACGCCGCGCCCTTTATCGAAATGCAGTATCGGTGCACGGCCGAAGGGAAACTGAGTAGTTGATTGTCTCTCTCGTTTACTCTCTACAGGCTTTGTCGGGAGAAATGAGCCCCTTTCTGTGCAGTGGCAGCCACCAGGCCCAGCGGGACTGTCAGCCCAGTGCCCTCAACTGCTTTGTCGAGGCCATGTCTCAGTGTGTGCCTCCTATTCCCATCCGTCCCTGTGTGCTGAAGTACTTGGGGAAGACACACAACCTGTGGCTGCGCTCCACTTTAATGCTGGAGCAGCAGGCCTTTGAGAAGGGCCTCAGCCTGCACAGCAAACCCAAGCAGAGCACAGAGTTCTACGAGCAGGAGAGCATCACTCCACCTCAGCAGGTAGTAATGCACTCTCGTGTACACTATGAGCTCATTTCCACTATCTATCAACGTGACAACTGACGCCCGTGGTGCGATGAGGGGTTTCCTCCTGGAAGAGAAAGTCTCAAAGTGTGACATCCACATTTGGTTCGTTTGCTCTGCAGGAGATTTTGGACTCTCTAGCGGAGCTTTACTCTCTGCTCCAAGAGGAGGACATGTGGGCCGGCCTGTGGCAGAAGAGGTGCAAGTTTCCTGAGACCGCCACTGCCATTGCCTACGAGCAGCATGGCTTCTTCGAGCAGGTGAGCGACAGCTTGATGGGAAACCAAGTGCCCACTTTAACATGAATGTATGGTCGTATTTGCTATACGCTGTTCCCCGTGCTGCAAATAAATCCCACCTCCACAAAGGTGTTATTTAACTTTATGGGCTGTAATTTGTGGTGCCGTTAAATGATATAGCATTTCACAGAGAGGTGTTTCTAATCTTCTATTTACATCAAACACTATAAAATGAAAGGTTGCAGGTCGTACGGATATTCACATCACTAGCTTAGAAAACGCTTCTATTAAGATTGTTCATGTGTCTTTTCAGGCCCAAGAAAGCTACGAGAAAGCAATGGAGAAGGCTAGAAAGGAGCATGAGAGGAGCAATGTCTCCCCGGCCATCTTCCCGGAGTACCAGCTGTGGGAGGACCACTGGATACGGTGAGATTTCCACCAATGTCTTCATATATTTACATAGTAAAACTGCCCCCCCTGTGAATAGGACTAATAAAAAGGAATTCAGTTTACATCTGTTGCACGTTTAAAAAGCACACGCTGTATAAAGTTGCCTAATTCCTCTCCCGTGTGTTCTTCTCCAGCTGTTCTAAGGAATTGAACCAGTGGGAGCCTCTGACGGAATACGGCCAATCGAAGGGCCACTCGAACCCGTACCTCATGCTGGAGTGCGCCTGGAGGGTTTCCAATTGGGCCGCCATGAAGGAAGCCCTGGTACAGGTGAGTGCAGTCACAACGTGTATTTATACACATACGACCAAAAGTCACTGAAACCTGTGGCGGTATGCGGGGAGGCAGAAGTTCCAGTGGAGCCTCTCAAGGCTCGAACCCAGTGACCAGTTTCCCCTCCTGCCAGGTGCCCGGGGGGATAATGAGGGAGCTGACTGCAGCGCTGTGGAAATGCGCTTCAGCCTTTTGCTCGGTTAATTTATTGGTCTTGTGTTTCCGAAAACAAAGCGTAGACGGGTGGCAGCTCGTGATAGCACCTGACACATAACAAATACGCCTGCTTTGCTCCTTCAAGGAGACTTGGACGCAATCCACCGAGCCGCTCTGTCTTAAGGTGACACCTAATTAAATTGTCTGGATGGCATCACCAACGCCGCTACATCCCTTCGTGTTTCCTTCCTTCCTTCCTTCCTTCTTTGCTCTGTGTCCCTTCTACTTTCTTCCGGGTTCCCTTTTTTGTCATCAATGCCCTCTCGTCCCGCTGCTCTGCTTTTAGCGGCGAACGTGCACGGCGTGAATAATCACCCGAGCTGCTGGGTGATTTGTTTTATGGCGGAGGAGAAGAGCGAGAGGCTGCCCGCTGCTCGCCATCTCAGAGGCGACGTCCAACCGCCCCTCGCTTTCGATTAACGCCGGCTCTTGATAAGGGCGTCGCTGTCTCCGGGGTATTCGTCAACCCCGCCCTCCCAATAAGTGCGTTCTAACCGGTCCTTGTAATCTTCTACCACTTTTCCTATTTTTTTTTTTTTTTGTTCCTGTCTTTTCACTTAAAAAACGCACAATGGCGAAGCTGTCGGGTTCGAGGGTGCCGCCTCCCCAGGGCTGTTGTTTGTTTAGTGTTAATTCACTCAGCGATTAAATCGATAGCGGGGGCCTTTTCCCCTCCTCCGCCTCTCTGTCAGACTCGGCAGGTTGATTAGTCATTAGTGCAAAAGTCCTGCTGAAACCCATCAGAAAATGAATTGGAAACCGTGTTGTGTGCGTTTGTGTTAAATTGTGCAAGGAAAGTGTCATGGGTCTTTTCCCCTTGGATGTTCATTTAATTAAAACCGCCACACACGCTGTAAAGAGTGTGTGCGCTATTCTGCACGACGTCATGCGGACAACCGAGCACAAGAAAATCGCGCTCAACAAACACCAACTTTGTGTTTCCTTCAACAGAATGTCAACAATTCCACTTTCACTTCTGTGTTCTTTTACTTTTTGTTTTTTCTACATTCGGAATCTACAGTTAAATGTCCATTTGTGACTCTGCTGTTCCGCCCGAAGAATCCGTTCGCAACGTGCTGCTAATTTGTCATCACACAAAATAGTTGAAAAAAAATCAAATCATTTATTTGTCGAGGAGATGCTGACAAGTGTGGAGCTTTCAGCTTTGTGTAGCGACGCGCTAACGGACCCCGTCTGCTTGACGTTCCCAGGTGGAGCTGAGCTGCCCCAAGGAGATGGCGTGGAAGGTGAACATGCACCGCGGCTACCTGGCCATCTGCCACCCCGAGGAGCAGCAGCTCAACTTCATCGAGCGGCTGGTGGAGATGGCGTCCAGCCTGGCCATCCGCGAGTGGAGGAGGTTGCCTCACATCGTCTCCCACGTCCACACGCCGCTGCTGCAGGTCGGTGTGCAAAAAGCGCAGTCGGGATAGAGGAGGGAGGTCCGTCCTCATGCGATAAGCGCTTCAAGAGATGCGTGTTACGCAGCAGCTCAGGGGACGGCCTCGGCCTCCTCTCCGCACTCCCGCCTGGTAGGATTGAGATCCAAAAAACTTTTAAGCCCCTTTTGATTCCACCGCGGGAGATTACAATAGACGGGGGCAAAGATGAAGAGGGAGAAAATGGAAAAAGGGTAGAGTGAGCAGAATGGGGCGACGGAGAGAGAGAAGAGGACGGCAGTAACAGCTAGTTCAGAATAGCTGTAATTACTTCACTACCATCAGATACCATTTGATTAAATACCTGCTGAAGAATTACATTTACATGATTAATGGCACAGTCTGAGTGAAGGTTAGAACAGGGCCATCAGCTGATATTAACAGATAATTGTGAAAATATTGTATTGCCTAATTAATTTTGTTTTGGGAGATGCGGGTGGGGTTAAGTCATCAGCAAAGCTCTTATTCACTGAATGTATCTTTTCAAAATGGGTATTTGAATTGGCTGAGTACGTTCCTTGTTATTGTGATTGTGCGCTTCGCCGTGCGCGCGCGCGCTCCCATATGTGCAGTCCAATTATTTACCCCCAGCCGAGGGAAAACAAGCTATTTATTCCTCCGCTCAGCCAAGCGGCTTGTTGTAAATCTCCATCCCAAACTCCACCGGCTCGGAGAACGAGAAGCTCCGACCGTGCAAATACAGAAGGGTCCCAATACCGCTCCAATCAAGTTATCATCAAACCCCAGCGCTCTGCAGTGACTGACGATCAATGGATTATCACCCACGCTATCGATTATGAGGGCCGGCGTTAATATTGATTGATGAGAAGCTATAATGGAATGATTGATTATGTGTTCACACAGCGGCTTTGGGCCAATCAATGGGGCTCAGAGTGAGATAGAAACCCTCCATTATCATTTTCACACTTTCCCTCCATCTCTTAGTCCTTTTTCTTCTTTGCCGTTTTGGAGCAGATTAGCCATTGCAGTACCGAAGGGAAATTCTCCCCGCTAAATATTTTGGATGGCATGAAGAAATATCGCTGGAAGGTGTTTTTAATGCCAACTCTTTTTTTTTTTTTTTTTTCACAATATGCATCTTCCTGTTAATTATTCCACGAAATTGGCCCGAGAAGAGAAGCTTGTTGGCGGAATAGTGTATGAATGCGGAGCCTTGGCTGGTTTTCCCCTTCTGGTATGTCTGCAGAGGTTAACGTGTTCGGTCACGTTGATCCGTCCGCGGAGGCTTTCAGCCCGCTGGATTGTCGAGTCGGAGTCTTGAGCCAGAGGCCTGGAGGAGGAAAGCAGCCGCATCTTCTTTCTCCACCTCTCACCTCATCTTTTGTGTTACCTTCCCGTGGTCACTTCTTCCTTTAATGCAGCACAGTCTCACATCAGGCTTTCTTCTTCTTTCTTCATGTACAGTTTGCAAACATTTTACCATCCCGACTATTTATTTCTTATCATCCTCCTTAAGCTCCCTTTTTTCATAAATGCTTTTAGATATTTCAGTAAGTTCTTCATGGTACAGTTCACCAATACTACTGTAAAAATATGAAGAGACATAAGGAGGAGTTGCACAAAAGTATTTTAATGAGCTAACTTATTATGAATATCAAAACACTTAAGAAAGTACAGCAGAACACATGAGATAAAAAAATAGAAAATAAATAAATAACTAATCGATTGACCGCAAATGGACTAATTCAGTGTTGAAGCATTTATTTTGTCAGATGTGTAGACAAAATGTTAACAAGATTAAGTGCAGCTGGTGGAGCCGTCTGGACCAAAGCGTGAAGCTGGCCGGAGATCACGGAACGTTGTCGTAAACAAATGCGTCGTCCATCAGGAGCGCAGGAAGCTTTCGCCATGTGGCTGCGCTCCGCGCGTCGTAGAGGTTTAAAGACTCAACTGAGCGGCGTCGAGGTACTGTGTGATTTATGCAACAAAAGGTCAAGAGCTGATTTACGGTCCTCGTTGGCCTCCCGCAGGCGGCACAGCAGATCATTGAGCTGCAGGAAGCGGCCCAAATTAACGCCGGGCTTCAGCCGGCCAACCTGGGCCGCAACACCAGCCTCCACGACATGAAGACCGTGGTGAAGACCTGGAGGAACCGGCTGCCCATCGTCTCTGACGACCTGTCCCACTGGAGCAGCATCTTCATGTGGCGCCAGCACCACTACCAAGGTACGACACACACACACACACACACCAGCAGACCCAGTACCGCCTCCATGCGCGAGGACCGGCGCTATTAAAGGGTGCCACTCGCGTGTTAGTTCCAGGAAGGGGTCCTTTTTAAAAAGGACACATGTTGCAGGATCCCCTCAGGGTCTCTGTACTTTTCCAAATGTCAGCTTGCTAAAGCACTCTCGCCGCAGGACGGACACACACACACGCGCGGCGTCTATATTTACCTTGCTCAGTACCCACACCTGCACTTTCAAACCAGAGGCAGCCACTGCAAAATGTGACGTCTCAAGCAACTCCAGCTCCCACTCGCAGCGTGAGGCGCTGAAATAATGACGGCTCTGCTTCTGCAGCAGAATGCCGATGAAATCCACTTCATTCATACCTGACAGCCTTCAAACTTTACGTCAAAGTGAAATGGGATTTTCTTGGCAATACGTGCCGGCTCCCCAGTGCCCCCCTCTGCATTATGACAGAGCGCCAGAAGATCCTCGGTGTTCGTATCGCTCTCTGCTTCCACTCTTTGTCTTCGTATACGACTCTTGTGTGAGGACAGAATTGACGCTGGTTTTGTCCCTGTCCACAGCCATAGTGACGGCATATGAGGCGAACACGCAGCACGATCCCAACAACAACAACGCCATGCTGGGGGTTCATGCCTCGGCCTCTGCCATCATTCAGTACGGCAAGATCGGGCGCAAGCAGGTACGGCAGCCTCTTTGGGCACGATAGGTGTGGATCGATGAGCGGCTCGCCGCTTGTTTTCTAATTGTTTCTGTGAATCGTGTCCCCGCAGGGTTTGGTGAACGTGGCCCTGGACATTCTAAGTCGAATCCACACCATCCCCACCGTGCCCATCGTCGACTGCTTCCAGAAGATCCGGCAGCAGGTCAAATGTTACCTGCAGCTGGCTGGCGTCATGGGCAAGAACGAGTGCATGCAGGTAGGCCGCCCCCATGCTGCCAACGTCGCAGTGAAAGCCAGCGTGGTATCACCACGGACGCTAGCCGCAGTTAGTTGTTGATGCCAATACATTTGAGCCAAAAGCCTGTTTGGGAGAACTTTGTCCATCATTGACGATGTATTACAATTATGTCACTCTCCAGAAAGGGCACACGTCATTTAGTCTGCGCAGTCCAATTATGTGAGATGAAAACACGATAAATACATCGCACCATGTGACACCTGCACCATAATTGCGGCACAGCTGCACGGCATTTGGACCGTGCTAATGCGTGCTCCAATTCCAAATCCGCCGGCCCCCTCCTGCAGAATAACACAGTAGATGCATTGAGTCGAATTAAGTACTCGGGTGGATCTCTGTCCGCAGTGGCTGGAGGTGTAGTTAGTGGTACTCTGAGTGGGAGGGAAGGCATTAAGAGCAAGAGTTCGGGGCGGCTCCAGGTGACAAGTTATAGCGCGGAGACTTGGAATGTAACTCGGGATCTTAAGCCCACGGAGCGCTCTGATTAATAGAAGCAGTTCAGCGCACCACAAGTCATTAAAAGTGCCAGTAGACACTATTCTCTCTCTCTCTCTTCTATCTCATCTCCTCCGGTTCTGCCTCTCTCTCCCGCCACATGTCGTTTGTCACAGCGGTACGTAGGGGACACCTAATCAGAGGCTCGCCGTAATGGAAGTCTAGTTCCCTTAGCGCTCTCTTTTTTTTCTTCTTCTTCTTACTTCTTAATGAACACCGAGCTGTTTGTTTGTTAGTTTCAGTTTCAAACGAAAAACAATCGTCCTTTTTTCTTTTTAGGGTTTGGAGGTGATCGAGTCGACGAACTTGAAGTACTTCACCAAGGAGATGACGGCAGAGTTCTACGCGCTGAAGGGCATGTTCCTGGCTCAAATCAACAAGTACGACCATCACGGCTGCACATTTCACTTTCGCTCGAGCATCATCACGTTTTGGCCCATTTTAGATCGGTATCTTTTTGTTCCTTTTTGGGGTTGTTTTCTTTCCGCTCTGAATCCACCATCCCGTCCGTCACCGTCTTCCCTTTTCTTCACTGTCCTCAAACCGCGTCCGTGGTCCTTCACCCTTCGCTCGGGACGTGGGAGCTGTACGTTTCATGCGCTCGTCTCACCTCGAGCCGACGTACCTGTAGGTGTTATCTTACATCTACGTCGCCACTGTTTCAGCGGCCCACAGTCTTTAGCACCCCTCCCCCCCCCGTTGAACCCGTCGTCTTTGACGTGTCACGGCTGCCTCGGGGGTGAGAGACAAATTGAGGGAGGCTTATAAAATGTATATGCAGCTCAATAATTAACTGGAGGCAATTTGCAGGAATCTCTGGGATCAGCAGAACTTGCCTGCACCTCAGCGGGGTTTATTGCAATCATTATGTTTCCCTGCACAGAGTGTGTTTGGGGGTGGGGGGGGGGGGATTAACAGCGGAGTAGGGTTTGTGTGAGTAAGGATTTTGGGATCATTCAATTAAACGGGTGTCAGAGTTTTGACAGCCGTCTCCTGTTGAGTCGGGTAGTAGAAACTGTTAATGTACTTTTACACCGGCAAAGTGACGGAGGAAACCCCATTACGCATTACTGCAGGGTCTTCGGCTTCGACTCCCATAGCAATCAAGCTCCCATTTCTTAATCACATGCCAAAACGCCTTTTATAATAACACATTTTAATTGATTGGCTTGGGAGACTTGTCGATGGAGGTAAGCGGGAGTAGTTTTGGAAGCCCATTTACCAACTGTGGCTCTGTAAAGTAGTTTTTTTTTTTCCACGAGAGGCCCGTCTTGTTTTGACTGCAGGGTGGTGCGTCTCAGGGTGCCCCTCCTACTTATTTTTTAATCAATGGCGTGTAACAATTATTCAGACAGGGTGCCAACGTCAGGTTTACAGCCCCATGGTGTGATTAAAACCTGGCTGATTCAGCATAAATGCTGCAGTCGAGTCCCCTGCTGGATTTCCTCCCTGGCGGTTTAACCCTTTTCTGGTTGAATACTCCAGTGAGGAAGATGTCTCCAGCACGTAGCACTCGATGGTGTGTATGAAGATAAATACAGACGTTCCACCGAGCTTCTTTCCGGGAGATGTTGAGCTCACGCGTCACCCAGCGTTGCTCGGATTGATCTGCACAGTACGATGAGGTTGAGCTCAACTCGTATTCCAATTTAACAAAGTGCCTAAACCCTCGGTGACATTATTTCATGCTGGGTTAAATACTCACTCTGTAATGTTGATGAGGAAGGGAGAAAGGCCTTGAAGATTACAGCGACTGAAATATGGTGCTTATTGATGTGCAGTGCATAATTCAGAATGTGATCATCATAATCTGTTTCTCGCCCACTCCATCTTTCTCCTTCTCTTACGCTCCTTCGTCTCTGCTCTTCATTCATCTCTCCTCTCGCTTCCTATCTACTTTTTTCCTTTACCCCGTCGTGCTCTCACGCCTTCGCGGCCCCCCCCCTCCCACCCGTCGCTCACTTTAGTTGTCCGTCCGTCGCCCTAACGCCTTTTTCGCCTTGTCCAGGTCAGAGGAGGCAAACAAGGCCTTTTCAGCTGCTGTGCAGATGCACGACGTCCTGGTGAAGGCCTGGGCCATGTGGGGGGACTACCTGGAGAACATCTTCGTCAAGGACCGCCAGCTCCACCTGGGGGTCTCCGCCATCACCTGCTACCTCCACGCCTGCCGCCACCAGAACGAGAGCAAGTCCCGCAAATACCTCGCCAAGGTGGGAAGGCGTCGCCGTCGTGTGTATGACTGCGTTGGCGTACGCCCCCCCCCCCCCCCTCGCCCGCTACCTCAATATTTGGAGCTTTTTGCAAAAAGAGGTGGTTTGATTGATTACAGTGCAGCAAAACCTTTATGAGTGACCCCCCCCATTAATGGCTTCCCCCAAAACTCCACTGTCCTGACCCTCTACCTGGTCCGACCTTCTCCGGCAGTCAGGCCGATGTCACGTGACAGTTGACTCCTGTGTGGGAGTTAAAGAGTTGGACCCCCCCTCACACAGACCAGGTCATTCACTCCCCCGTCCTCCCAGAGGTTCGGCAAAGAAAGATCTCCATTTCCTCTCATTGAAGGTGAAGCACGGAGACACGCTGTGCTCTGCCTTCCTGCTCTCAGCTGAAGTGGCAATTATTGCAAATTGAGCTAAATTCTAAGAAGGTTTTGCTGCTTCATTAATACACTTCAACAAAACCGCCTCTTGCCCCCCCCCCACCCCTCCATTATTAATTAATGAGCTGGAGATGGCTGAGAGGTAAAAAAAAAAAAAAAATGAAAAGCCACCAAACTGCCTGCTGGGTCTCTGCTTTCAAAGATGCACCTACGAGTCCGAAGAGAGAGATTCATCCTGACAGCAGAAGGTGGGGCTGAATACAAAATAAAAATAAACATGGTCTGGCCACGTCCACGTTTAGCATCGGGCATCACTGTGATTATCTGTTCTAATCACGGCTGCCAAGCTGGCAGCGCTCGGACCTGATGGGTGAAGTGAGATGACCAGTCATTACCAGTAATTATACACAATCTGTTTCCCCGCGGTGGCTGGCTGAATAGAGCCCCGCCGGGGGGGGTAGTAATGTCTTCATTGTAATGTAGAGGCACACGCGATCACCCTGGGAGGGAGGGGAGGGGGGGGGGATCACCTCCACATTGGCTCAGCTTTGATCATGGCAACGATTGCCAAGATGTACTCGCTCATCGCTCTGCTGCTCCGCTCCTGAGCCGGGCTCTGATTAATGGCTGAGACCTCAGCGCTTGGTGTCTAAATATAGTTACTATGGGACGTCTTTTTCCTTTTGTGGTGCCTTTTTGTTTGTTTCTTGCTACTTTTCTTACCGGCCTGCTGTTGTGTTGGATGTATTCGCTCCCCATCGGCTGGTTGATCAGAACACTGTGTGGTTATTGACGACAACCGGCTACCAAATGCTTTCCTTTTGCAGTCCGGTCACCAGCTTGGATTATCTATTTATAACCTGTATAAAAGTGTGTGTGAGAAAATGACCCTAATGCGGTGATGTATATTCAGTAAATGATGGTCCCCTTTAAAAAACAGCGGACTAGATGGATAGATGGATAGATAGAGACTTTATTGATCCCTCAAGAGGGAAATTTTGGTATCACAGCAGCATGTACAGGGAAGAAAATAGAATAAAAAGATACACATTATATACAATATAATAAGAGAAATATTAAATAAAATAAACTGAAACAAAAGAATAACCTTCCAAAAGAGACAATAATAATAATTTATAAAAGGAGAAGAGGAAAGAACAGCAACATAACAGCAGTACAGGGTTATTATTGTCGTTGTCATTGACTAGACCATACAGCTGGGGGCGTGGCTACCTTGTGATTGACAGGTTGTTTCAATGGCGTCGTCCGGCCTCCGTGGCGTTTTTGTGTTACGGCTTTAACCTTTGCTCACATGTTTCTGTTCTTCTTTCACCCGTAGGTGTTGTGGCTCCTCAGCTTTGATGACAAGAACACGCTGGCAGATGCTGTGGACAAGTACTGCATTGGGGTCCCGCCCATCCAGTGGTTGGCATGGATACCGCAGCTCCTCACCTGCCTGGTCGGTTCAGAGGGCAAACCTCTGCTCAACTTAATCAGCCAGGTGAGCCTCTCCCAAAGCCGGATCTCCATTAGGCCCAGATCCTCCTTTTCTCTTCTCCCAACTCCATCAATGCAACCGTTTTTCCCTCCTGGCTTCCTCTTTCATCTTTTTGGGGCAGCACATCTGGCCTGTGTGTGTGTGTGTTTGCGCGCATCAGCGCTCACGCACGTCTTACCAGTTCGAGATAAATTAGCTGCATTCACGCGTAGCGATGTGGCCTTTCTCCTGCTTCCTATTTACCAAATTAAGCATTCTAATTCTTCTACAGTCCCCTGGCACAGCAATTTATTTGCTTTCACCAGTCCCCGGTGAATTGGTTTTTAAATTATTTGTTTAAGAAATGATTATAAAGCTAATATCGGACGCATCCGCACTGCGGGAACACAGTTCGTAATTAAACCCAAGACTAATTTGCTTTGCTTAATGGAGTATTATTTCCGCACAATTTGAAGAGGGTGATCTTCACAGAGTAGTCAAACAGCCTCTTCTGTCCCACAGAGGAAACGTGGGGAGCAGAAAGATGTGGTTTCAGTTCACAGCTGGGCAGTGTGATATATATATAAACATAGATGTTTACCGAAGTTGTAAGAGTGAATTTGACATGTTTTTATTATTACAAAGCTCAAAGTTGTGCCCTCTGAGCTCCTGCGAAGTCACAAAAGTCGCACGTGTCTTTGGCATGAATATGGATGCAAATCAATGGGTGACTAGAGACTCTCCACTCCTCCCTCTGGTCTGCATCGCCACCCTGGTAATGGCTGAAGGGTGAAAGGTCAACGCCCTCTTTTCTTCCTCCCCCCTTTGTACGTAGAGAGAAAAGCACATTTCGATGCGTGGCGGCCTTTGTCTCTGCTGCGCACTTGAATCATTTATTTATGAGTCGCTGCGCCGCGGCGGGATGTTTAAAAAGTGCATGTTGAAATATTGATGAAGGTGAAGAGAACGCGCCTGGGGCCAGGCAGGAAGATGAATCAGAAGTCAACAGAGGAGCGCAGCTCCCCCGAGTCTCGCCCTCGGCCCACCTCAGCCTCTCCAAAATGTGACGCTTCTTATCTTCCCATTAGCAGGTTGATCTCTGGTCCCTCCTCTTCCTCGCCGCTTCCCTTCCTCTTTTATCTTGAGTGCTGCTGTTGGCTGTCACGGATCGTCCGGTTACTCCTGACTGTCTTATTTCTCATCTCAGTGGCGCATTTTCCATTTAAAATCTGTCCCTCTCCTCTCTGATTTTAATCACTGGGAAAAGGAGCATCAGGAAAAATACACATTTGCTGTAAATGGAATCTAGAAAATAAATTGAGTTTGCTCTTCCCGTTGGTATCGTCTCCCACCTGCCGCTGCAGCAGCCCACCGCTGACCAGCTGTCCACGTAGCGTCTCTGCCTGTGTGGACTGAGGGACATGTGGAACAGGCGAACAACAGGATGTTCTAGACCTCTGCGGGACGACCCGTTCTGGGCCACTTGTCTAAATTACAGTTTCCGCATGTCGAAGGCGTGTAGAAAGAGTCCGCGAAACATTACAGGTTCTCACACGCATTTAGCCAGAGGCTGAAGTATGAAGACCGCTGCTTCTCTCTCTTCTCCAAGCCCACTTGGAGGCGTATTGAACTCCGTTTTGTCGTGGGGAGGCGCAGGTGTCTCTTTCTGCCCGGCAGGCGCGTGGCGGGTCGAGAGGGATCAAGTAGCGCTGTAACGGCAGCTTGTGAGACCCGAGAGAACATTGTGGTTTGGTCTTCCATCAATATCCTAAAGCTGCGTATCTCAAAATCAGTTTGCAAAAGGACAATCTGCTTATTGTTCTACTTTTAGCGAAGAACGTTTTACATCATTACACCAGGAAGTACCACAGCGAAGACACAGACAATCCCACTATGAACAAATCCAGCCATATTTGCTAAAAACACACGTTTGTAGATTATTAAGCATGTTTGAAATCTTGATTGTAATCCGTGTCTTATCAATAGATAAGTGTAGACGTGTAGTTTCCCTGGAGAAAATGACTATTCTCCGCTTTCTCGAGTGTTGGGCAGCTTTGTATTCTCCCTTCAGGCCTCGCTTTGCAGTCACAACCACTTGTGTCACGCGAACATCAGTGTTGAGTCTCCCTCTTTGCTCACGGTGTTGCTGCTTGTTTGAGCGTCTGCTCGGAGCCGTTGAACGCGGTGACCTCACTGCCGCCTGCGCTCGCAGCATGAGAGAAAACACGTACGCAGCTACTGACTCTCGGTTCATTAGTCACAGACGACGTAGCTCGGATGCTGCAGAGCGCCGTGCGGCTAACTAACCCCGTCTCTCCTCATCAAACTATCCACCGCGGTGAATAAACCCGCCACTACTTCATCAAAGCAGCTCAACTCCACACAGTTTACGGTGATTTTTTTTTTGCAACTTTTGCATCTCTTTCGTCCTCACTTCAACCACGAAGCTTTCCATCGTTGTCGGGGACAAAGTCTTGTCGGCTATTTCATCATCAATGACATATTGTAATACAGTCATAACTGGTTTTTATAACTTTACCTCCCCTGACGCAACGCTCCAAACACTCCTTGTGCTCCAGCAGAGGTCTCGGCTGTAACAGGCTGATCTGTCTGTCTGTCTGTCTGTCTGTGACACAAGTGCACAAACTCTCTCTCCTTCTCTCCCTCCCCCCCCCCTCCCTCTTGCGGTCCTGCGGGGGAGTCTTTGAAATGTAATCTGTGACCCTCTTTTATCTGCAAGGTGGGACGAGTGTACCCCCAGGCTGTCTACTTCCCCATCCGCACCCTTTACCTGACACTGAAGATCGAGCAGAGGGAGCGCTACAAAAGTGGTAAGTAAATATGTCTCTTTATCTCTCACCATCAACCCTTTTTATATAATATATATATATATGACTACGGAAGATGCTCTTTGACCGCTAACGTCCTTTCATTGTTACTCTACTCTAACTCTCCCTTTCCTCCCCTTCCTCACTCTTCTCTCCCCCCCAGATGCATCTGGACAGCAGCAGCCCAGTTCTGTGGGCGCTCAGCCCCACTCGGGGGCCTCCGACCCGGGGCCGATCCGGGCGACCGCCCCCATGTGGCGCTGCAGCCGGATCATGCACATGCAGCGGGAGCTCCACCCCACCCTGCTCTCCTCCCTGGAGGGCATCGTGGACCAGATGGTGTGGTTCAGGGAGAACTGGCACGAAGAGGTGAGGGCAGCGCCGGCGCTGGTTTAACCTGCGTCTGGCTCGGTGAATGTTTTCAGCGGGAACATGATGCGGCTGGTTGTGTGTGCAGTCCGAGTGCACGTTGTGTGTGTGTGTGTGTGTGTGTCACGCCACCCGGTTCCCCCCAGAAGCCCCCGGCGTGTCTGATGTGCCGACACATCTGTTTAGTCTGAAGTGTTATTCTGCGTTGCCTCTGAATTGGTCCTCGCTGACTGAACGTCTTCTGCCGTGAACGTGTTTCATGTTCCAGAACTGAGCGCCAGCTCCGGATACGAGATTAATTGTGAATTTTGTAAATTCCCTCATTGCCCTGAAACTGTTGATGTCGGTGCAGGAGGAACGCCGTCTAACGCGGAGCTCGGTGCCGCTGCAAGTAGTTTGAGCCAAGCTCTGGCGAATCCACTGAGGGTAGCTGTTCTGTGGGGGGGGGGGGGCGAGGGCTGAAACGGGTGATGGATGGCTGCGCTGAGCGCGTGGGATGGGGAAAGGGATTAAGGGCCGGAAGTTTGTTGCTGTGTGCACATATCTGTGATTATCTGTGAGGGTTCTGGGCGCCCGGCGGCAGCTGCAGGCTCTACGCTTCATCTCCCCCCCCCCCCCGGGTGAAACCAGTTACTGTATGGCTTCACTTTTTCTTTTCCCGGAGCGGAGCGAGGCCCTGGTGCTACGGAGGTGGAAAGTTGGATCTTCTCGGCTTGCATTGCGCGTTGACGCTCCCGCGGTCCTCGTTATTTCCTTCCCTTCATCTTCTCTTCTCTCTCCCTCTGCAGGTCTTGAGGCAGCTCCAGCAGGGTTTGGCCAAGTGCTACTCGGTGGCCTTTGAGAAGAGCGGCGCCGTGTCCGACGCCAAGATCACGCCGCACACGCTGAACTTTGTGAAGAAGCTCGTCAGCACCTTCGGCGTCGGCTTGGAGAACGTCTCCAACGTGTCCACCATGTTCTCCAGTGCCGCCTCCGAGTCGCTGGCCCGCCGGGCCCAGGCCACGGCCCAGGACCCCGTTTTCCAGAAGATGAAGGGGCAGTTCACAACAGGTGCGTGGGCTTTTAGGAGAACCCCTGAAGAACGGGAAGACGAGCTCTGCAGAGCTTCTTTACAAACCATCGTTTCCTGTGTTTGGCTTTTTGAACTTCCTTGTTTGTTCACTTTGTATCCGTGGCTGTCGACCATCTGAACTTTGTCATAACACTTGGAAACGCGACGAGGGTTCAGAGTCAGCCTCCGACAGGGCGCGACATCTCGCAGGTAGCGACTCGCGCGGCGCCTCTTGTCACGCGAGGAGCACTTGTGTCGCTGTGTGCGAGCTGGAGTTGAAGGGAGGAGAAGCATCGCGCCTCTGCCATGTCATTAACGTTTCCAACCATGTGATTTGAATGAGGAGGGTGGTGGATGGTTAGAAGCGTGTTTGTGTGTGTGTGGGGGGGCAGTTTGTGTTTTTCCTACACTTGTGTGCACACGCCCACAAAGGTAGTTTATTATGCACCCGTCAGCTGTATTTCTAATCCACGCTGGTGCAGCACTGCGGCGATGATCTCAACGAGCACCGAGCCGCTCACAGGTTTGATGAAGCGAGAGAAGACGCTCCGGTCTTTCGCCTCAGCTGAAACCACGAAAACAACAACGCGCGATTCGGTCTCAGTGGGTCTGAAAAGTCTTTAAAACCGTATTCGTGAGAGGACGTCTCGGTACTGAAGCTGTAATGAAATAATTGTTTTCATTAGCGGCGTTTTATCAGGTTGAAATGGATTTTTGAGTAAAAATGATTTCCACCTTATTGGTTCTGTGAACCTTTGGCCATTTGGTATTGAAATGTTAATGTGGTTTATTCGCATTCAGGCTGAGTGCCGCCAGCCAGCAGTCAAGTGCTGTTTCCTGTGGTGGAGGCCGGTTGTGCCTACAGTATTTATCCTCTGTCAAGGAACCTTGCTGTGGTGTTTTAAATGAAATCAAACATCGAATCAGTTCGGGGAATTCCAGAGAATACTGCTTCTAAATGGGCCGGGGAGCAGCTTCGATGTTCTTTAATGAGAAAACGAGAGCACTGACACGGCACGTCGCTGTGGTCACCGTAAGGTCCCGCGTTATTTCACCCGGCGGTGAACGTCTCCTTCCAACGCAAGAGCGCTGGAGAGCCTCCAGCAGTTTGGGCCGCGGCGTCCAACTGGACCCGAGACTTTCTCCCTCCTTTCTCCAAACAATCATGGGCTGTTTTTGGAGCCGCGTGTCTGTTTCCTTTCATTACACAACAGCTGCACCGCAGTTCACCGGACCCGCCTTCCGTGTGCAAATAAACAGCCTCTTTGCTGACTTCTCACTGCACACGTGCGTGTTTGCTGAATCCGCCCAGTCTTCCCTTTTATTGCATCCTCTCCCCTCCTTGATCTTCAGTCTCCGCCGTGCTTTTCCCCTCCACTGGTCCTCAGAGTGGCCGGTAGAGCTAATGTGTTTGGCCCTGGGACAGTGGAGGACGAGGACTGTGAGACAATGAGGAGGTTGGGGGGGGAAAAAAATAAAAAACAATCTCCTGACGCAGCTGAAGATGAAGTAGAGCCAGAGGAGCATAACGGCGAGAAGAGAGCGGAGCTGGAAGAAAGAGGAATGGCGGTGAGATCCGGGCAGGTGTGATGCCTTTAGCGACGCGCTGAACAACGCAAACACGAGCCAGCGGGACTGGACGCACCTCCCCCCCCCCCAGATGTTGTGGTGCCAGCTGTGCCCACGGAGCCAGGGCCACCCCCCCCCCTCCCTGCTCTCCAGCTGTCCCCACGGCGGCGCCGGAGCCGGGCCAACAGAGACGGAAACCACACACGGTTCCCGGAGAGCGGAACAAACCGGGTTTAAAGAGCCGGACCACGTCAGCGGCTCGCTCGCTGTCACGCGGTTTGTGGGCCGGAGAATACGGGTTTATGTGTTTGTGCATTCAAACGCAATTATGGCAAAACGCTATTTGCATGACTCACTGTTTTAGCAGCTGATCTGTTCCAGAGGCTTTAGCGAGCGGAGAGGAAATGTCATTTCTTATGCTGAAATGAAATTAACCACATTTAACGTCTACCTTCCGTTGGTGGTGCAGACCAGCAGCACACAGGTCAGAGATCAGCCCGGCTGCTTTGCCCGCCTTCGCCTTCCCCCGGGCCAGCTACCTGGGCAGGGGTCAGAGGTCAATCCGCTGGAGTTAAAAGCAGCTCTTCTCTCTGAACCTGTTGCACTCGGAGAAACTCCTGCATTTCCTCCCAGAAACGGCCTGCAGGTTTATTATTGTCCCACTGTATTAACTCTATAAAGGGCCTTTTTCATGTTGAATGGCTGAAACATTAATGTAACGCTATTTTGTACGAGTTGTAATATAAAGCCTGCGTCTTTATGTGCAGCCGTCTCCAGAATGAAGCGGGTGAAATGTTTTATTTCGGATAAAGATGGAAGGATATTGCCGTATTGTGTTCGAAAGGGACCGGCGAGCCCCTTTCTGGTTTTCTATTTGTACACCTTTACGGCGCGAAATTGTCATCGGGGTTGCAATTCTTCAGGACTGTTTCAATTTTACCCACCGAGGCAGGTGAACCGCAGGCGGACGGAGTGCGAAATAGGACCACTACAAAAAGAACATTGGCTGTTTTAAAGGGCTTATTTAAAGCATTAGGAGGTCTCACGCCGGGAGAGAGAGAACAGATTTTCAAATGGCAAAGCCGTGCAGTTTGGTGGATTCATTACAGGCGGCACAGCGGGGAGAGCAGGAGAAGCGTGCACGTGTGTGCACGTCACAGAGACGTCCTGGGGGCCTTTATTCTAAAATGGAAAACCTGCCTGGCTCCTTCCGTTGCTGCTGCTGCTGCAGCTCATCACGATGCGTTATGTGCAACGTGACTCGTGGCTTGAAAGGGATTTAATACTTTAAGACTCATTTTTTTTATTGCTCTAATTTAATCAGCTCCCGGCGCCTCCACTGGGGAGCGTTAAGTCGACAGCGGTTCTGCTCGCGCTGCCGGCCTGCAGCGGATAACTTACCCACAAAGTTCCCTTGAGCAAGGCGCTCCCCACCTCCCGGCCCGAGCCCATCGCGGTAAAATCGTGGTGTTCTTGGTGTTGAATGAAGACAACATCCACCTCTCGCACGCCTCATCCGACCAACGAGGCTTCACGCGTTGCTGCTCGGACGCGTTTGAACCCTTTTACGGTCTTTTATTTGGCGCCGTGGCTCAGAAGCACGGCGTTGTTTGTAGCACAGGTCTCTGGGGGTTGTTGCTGCAGGAGGGGTTAAAGGTCAAACACACAGAAACACACCTGGGAGCTGATGTTCCAGTCTCGTGATGTTGGCTGCGGAGAGTCGGTTTCAGGACTGTAAAGAGGACTTGATTCCCCCGATCCACATTTCACTTGCAGCATTTTACTTCTTTTAATTTAAATATCAGTCTGCTGTTGATACTCAACTGTTACAGATAATGTTTTTTTTGTGCTTGCTGCCTTCTCGAAGGATGGGAAACAGTTGGGGAGAGAAATACAGAGACGGAGACGCCGGTGCTGTGTTGCTTCATCGGCTTTTTCCTTCTCCCCCGCCAGACTTTGATTTCAGCGTGCCGGGCTCCATGAAGCTTCACAACCTGATCTCCAAGCTGAAGAAGTGGATCAAGATCCTGGAGGCCAAGACCAAGCAGCTGCCCAAGTTCTTCCTCATCGAGGAGAAGTGCCGCTTCCTCAGCAACTTCTCTGCGCAGACGGCCGAGGTGGAGATCCCCGGGGAATTCCTCATGCCCAAACCTACACACTATTACATCAAGATCGCGAGGTGAAGCCCTTTCCGCCACGGACACACGCTGGGATAAAACTGGCATATGGAGCGCATCATTTCCTCTCTGTTCTCCCCTCCAGGTTCATGCCCCGCGTGGAGATCGTTCAGAAGCACAACACGGCCGCGCGGCGCCTCTACATCCGCGGCCACAACGGCAAAATCTACCCGTACCTGGTGATGAACGACGCCTGCCTGACGGAGTCGCGGCGAGAGGAGCGAGTCCTGCAGCTCCTCCGGCTCCTCAACCCGTGTCTGGAGAAGAGGAAGGAGACCACCAAGCGGCACCTCTTCTTCACGGGTACGACCGGCCGTCTGCGTGCGCGGATGGGGGCGGGGGGACTTTTTGCCTCGGTCAAGAAAATGGGGACGGGTCCTTTTTTGAGTTTTGTCGTTCACCACAGATGTGATGATGCTGCGGTTTCCTCGTCTTCTGTGTCCGTCTCTCTCTCTGTCTCACACACACACCGTAACTTTGCTTTCAAAGGCTGTTTCCTGCCACTCGATTGGTCTGTTTGAGGTTAGATGCGGACGCAGACTTCACCTTCCAGCACATTTCCTCCCAACTGGAATGGCCGCCGTAGCATGTGACTGTTTTGACCGCGTTTCCTGGGCAACACATGCAACACTCTTCCACCTCCTTTGACCCTGCTGGGCCTTTTTCTCCCACTCTGTGGTTAAAAACGGTGCAGCCAAATGTTTAGCGTCCTCTCCGCTCCCGTCTCTCCAGTGCCCCGGGTGGTGGCGGTGTCGCCTCAGATGCGGCTGGTGGAGGACAACCCTTCGTCGCTGTCGTTGGTGGAGATCTACAAGCAGCGCTGCGCCAAGAAGGGCATCGAACACGACAACCCCATCTCCAGATATTACGACCGTCTGGCCACTGTGCAGGCGAGAGGCACGCAGGCCAGCCACCAGGTAGGGAGGGAGGGGGGGGGGGCTCGCAATGCGGGGTGGGAGGCCGCCGGGACTGAGAATCACCCTCAAAAGAGGCGCTCACGAACAACCGTGGCCCCCGTTGGTGCTTTGCATTGATGTGCAGGTATAACGGTTTGTGGAGCATTTCGAACCATTTACCTCCTCGACGGCCGCTGTGATGTAAAGAAGCCGATGTGTTTTATTTAGCTTGAGATGTAGGAGGAGGTGGAATCAGCTGCTCCCCATTCCCCCCCCCCTCATCCTTCACTCCTCCTGTCTGCTACCAGGTCCTGCGGGACATCCTGAAGGAGGTGCAGGGGAACATGGTGCCCCGCAGCATGCTGAAGGAGTGGGCCCTGCACACCTTCCCCAACGCCACCGACTACTGGACCTTCCGGAAGATGTTCACCATCCAGCTGGCCCTGATAGGCCTGGCGGAGTTCATGCTGCACCTGAACAGGCTCAACCCCGAGATGCTGCAGATAGCGCAGGTAGGAGACGCGTGAAGGGCGAGCGTCCTCCGCGTGACAGATGGATGCATTAAGAGACGTCTCCACATCCTTGACACTCACACCAGGCCCGTCAGTCAGCCGCTCTCGGCGCCCGGCCGTGTTTTTGACAGAACGTTACATTCAGTCCCTCTGCAGCTATCAAAGACGTTTCAATTTGAAGAGGCCCTGTTTGCGTGCATGTGTGTGTGTGTGTGTGTGCGTGTGCGTGCACGCTCGGCGCCGCGGACGGCTTTTTGAAAGTCGTTATTAAAGACGATTTTGTCATTCGGCCGTCCCACCCCTCTGATCCCAATCGGCCTGTGCTGACAGGCGTTCCTCCGGGCCGCTGAGCGCTGGCATTAAGCCCCCCCCCTCTCTGCCTGTTCCACTCGGCGGATCCCATTAGACACGGCCGGATTACGGTACGGAGCGCGAGCGCGCACACACAATCACTACGCGCGGAGTGGAAGGGCGAGTGGAAGGGCAGGACGCGGCGGCCTGCCTCCGCGCGGACCTCGCCGCTGTTGGCACAATGATGCTTAGAGGCTTCGGCCACGAATGTCGCCCAGAAATAAAAACGTTCCCCTTCCTTTCTCCTTTTGATGGCGTGATGGATTTAGCATTGCGGCCGTCGCCTCTGCAGCCCCCCGTCCGCAGGCTTATCCGAGCCTCCTGGGGGTTGCTGGTTGTCTCTGCCCGCTGCCTTAAGGCCGGTAGGAGCAGAGGAGTTGGGAGGGGGGAGGGGGGGATTTAACAAGAAGGGAGGCAAAGGGAGGAGGAGAGGGAGCCGGCGCTGGAATGAAATGTTGTGCTGTAAAGCTGTCAGATGCACTCACCTTTTCATACGAGGGAGCTTATCGTCCTCAGGACGGCTGCTGGTGTCGCCGCCCTCTCGCACATAAACGCAGGCTTACAGATAAAAACCGGGCTGTATATATTTAAGTCAGCGGGGGAGAATTGAGTGTTATAGATGCTCTGACGCGTTACCGTGTCCGCGGCGGGCGGATCAATAATGGTCTTCGGTCCCGCGCTGCAGCAGATAATCCGACGGTTTGCTTTAATTGCTTGTGGTCATGAGCAGCGTCCTCCCTCATTCTCACACGCGTCTGTGTTTCAGGACACGGGGAAGCTGAACGTCTCGTACTTCCGCTTCGACATCAACGACGCCTCGGGCGACCTGGACGCCAACCGCCCCGTTCCGTTCCGCCTGACGCCGAACATCTCCGAGTTCCTGACGCCCATCGGCGTCTCGGGCCCGCTGACCGCCTCCATGATCGCCGTCGCCCGATGCTTCGCTCAGCCCAACTTTAAGGTAACTCGCCGCTTCCACCTTTTGTGCGCCGCTGCGGCGAGCTGCCGCCCAGAATGACGATTGTTTTGGGGGATTATGGGAGCAGAAGCACAACTGCTAGAATGTCATTTTAGGTCAGAAGCCGGATGTCACCATTTACCATCAGTGTTGGAATTTTCCGTAAACAAGCTGCTCTAAAAAGTGAACGCTGGTTTCATCCAGTCGGCGGCGAAGGAGCTAAAGCTTCATTGAAACTGCGGTTCAGTGCTTGACACCACTTGCACTGTGACAATAGTGCATTTAAATGTTAAAATAAGTACACTCAACTTGACCCAGATGGAAGGAAGCTCAGCCGAGTGTTTTTAAAATGAGGGGTTGGCGTCGGGGAGGATATACTTAACTGTCACCAGGCTGCCGCGGTTTGCGTTCTCCACTTATTGTATAGCACTTAAACCCAGAAGGGAAGTTCGACTGAAAAACAAAAGCATGCAATGAAACCCGGCGCAGTCGGAGGGTTGCGTAATGAGCCGGTAATGGCGGCCGCGTGGCGTCTGCGAATAAGCCCGGCTGCCACTTAAAGCCTGACTCGTGTGGACGCAGCAGCTGGAGGTGCAGAAGAAACAAAACACCCGGCGATGGGAACCAGTCGAGCTCGAGTGCCCGACGAGGGGTCGGTCCGGGGCGGCGCCACAAACGCGCCACAACCGCCGCGGCCGTCTGCAACCACGCGGGGGCTTGGCGTGTGTTTGGGGAGCAGCATGTTCCTTGTAAACGATGATTGTTTGTTCCCCTCCTCCGTCGGCGCGACGAGTCACGTAATCACCCGACCGTCCGGACCTGGACCTTCTCCTTCTCCGCGGCTGACATCTCCGCGTGTCTTTTGACAGGTGGACGGCATCCTGAAGGCGGTCCTGCGCGACGAGATCATCGCGTGGCACAAGAAGACCCAGGAGGACACGTCGATGCCGCTGTCCCCCGCCGGCCAGCCGGAGAACATGGACTCCCAGCAGCTGGTCTCGCTGGTCCAGAAGGCCGTCACGGCCATCATGACCCGCCTCCACAACCTGGCTCAGTTCGAGGGCGGGGAGAGTAAGGTGAACACGCTGGTGGCGGCGGCGAACAGCCTGGACAACCTGTGTCGCATGGACCCGGCCTGGCACCCCTGGCTCTGAGGAGCCCCCCCGAGAGGACGCCGTGGACAAAGAAGCCCCCCCCACTGTCACATTGATGGTCTGAAGAGGGCTCGTTACACCTGGACTCATCTCAATCGTTTTTCCTGCTATTTATTTTCATAGCTGCGTGACAGGAGGTGTCCTGTCCCTCGAGGAGACGTAATGAGACGCTCATTGTCTTTGTTCTATTCTCCTGCATCAAGAACTGTCCCCTAAAACAGCCCTTTGTATTCCAACATTTCTATTAGTATTTAAAGTGGAGCTGCGGAATGAGGAACCCGCTTCCTCAACTCCATGAACTCGTGTCTGATTGTTCCAAAAGCCGTTTTATTTTACATTTATTTTTGTCTCGTTGTAAATTCATGAAGTCAGACTTCAGGCGGATTGACACTGTAAAAAGCGCCACAGCTTTAATTTAAAACGTGTCGTTCCCGAGCTGGTGATTAATGCATAAACTCTTTTTGTGAAGGCGTGATGCCTTTTTGCCTTTTCTTCAGCACACGTATCACCGCCCACATTGTAAATAAGCATTTTGTTTTAATAAAATGCTCTTTTTAATACAAACGCTGATGTCGGCTTTTTTTTTTTAAGCTCCATATTGGGATCATTTTTCCAGCAATAAAACATCAGCATGAAGTAAAACAACAGCATCCCACTAATCTGCTTCCGTGTCTGTGTGGATGTTATTGTGCTGTGAAATGACCCCCGGCGCCATGAGGTCATTGACCGGGGGGCGGGAATGACGCCCTGCGGTCAGAAAGGTGTGTGTGTGTGTGTGTGTGTGTGTGTGTGTGTTTTGATTAATGCGCCAGTAGATCTCCGAGTGGGCGCGGCCGCGCTTGACTTATACTCTCTGTCAGACCGCCCCCCCCCCCCCCCCACCACCACCCCCCCCCACCCTCGTAAACAAAGGTTTTATCTCTGTTGCCCTCTGTGCAAACACACACACACACACACACACACACGACAAAAGTCGTGAGTGGGTGAGTGACTGGTTGGGTGAGTGACTGGTTGGGTGAGTGAGTGAGTGACTGGGTGAGTGAGTGACTGGGTGGGTGGGTGAGTGGGTGAGTGAGTGGGTGACTGGGTGGGTGAGTGAGTGGGTGACTGGGTGGGTGAGTGGGTGACTGGGTGGGTGAGTGACTGGGTGGGTGAGTGGATGAGTGAGTGGATGAGTGAGTGACTGGGTGAGTGACTGGGTGGGTGAGTGACTGGGTGGGTGAGTGACTGGGTGAGTGAGTGACTGGGTGGGTGGGTGAGTGAGTGGGTGAGTGGATGAGTGAGTGAGTGACTGGGTGGGTGACTGGGTGAGTGACTGGGTGGGTGAGTGAGTGACTGGGTGAGTGGGTGGGTGAGTGAGTGAGTGGGTGACTGGGTGGGTGGGTGAGTGAGTGGGTGACTGAGTGAGTGAGTGGGTGACTGGGTGGGTGAGTGACTGGGTGGGTGAGTGGATGAGTGAGTGGATGAGTGAGTGACTGGGTGAGTGACTGGGTGGGTGAGTGACTGGGTGGGTGAGTGACTGGGTGAGTGAGTGACTGGGTGGGTGGGTGAGTGAGTGGGTGAGTGGATGAGTGAGTGAGTGACTGGGTGGGTGACTGGGTGAGTGACTGGGTGGGTGAGTGAGTGACTGGGTGAGTGGGTGGGTGAGTGAGTGAGTGGGTGACTGGGTGAGTGACTGGGTGAGTGGGTGGGTGAGTGAGTGAGTGGGTGACTGGGTGGGTGACTGGGTGAGTGAGTGACTGGGTGGGTGAGTGAGTGACTGGGTGGGTGAGTGAGTGAGTGACTGGGTGGGTGGGTGAGTGAGTGGGTGACTGGGTGGGTGACTGGGTGAGTGGGTGGGTGGACTGGGTGGGTGGGTGAGTGAGTGGGTGAGTGACTGGGTGAGTGACTGGGTGGGTGAGTGACTGGGTGAGTGACTGGGTGGGTGAGTGACTGGGTGAGTGACTGGGTGAGTGAGTGGGTGAGTGAGTGGGTGGGTGGGTGGTGAGTGAGTGGGTGACTGGGTGGGTGACTGGGTGACTGGGTGGGTGGGTGAGTGAGTGGGTGAGTGACTGGGTGGGTGAGTGACTGGGTGAGTGACTGGGTGGGTGAGTGACTGGGTGGGTGGGTGGGTGAGTGACTGGGTGAGTGAGTGGGTGGGTGAGTGAGTGACTGGGTGAGTGACTGGGTGGGTGAGTGACTGGGTGAGTGACTGGGTGAGTGAGTGGGTGGGTGGGTGGGTGAGTGACTGGGTGAGTGGGTGGGTGAGTGGGTGGGTGGGTGGGTGAGTGAGTGGGTGACTGGGTGAGTGAGTGGGTGACTGGGTGAGTGAGTGGGTGAACGCCTGAACAGGCTGCGGTGTTTTGAGGTGCTGAAGAACCGGAGCAGGAAACAAACCCACCGACGCCTCGGAGCGGAAACGCCACTTTCTCCGTGAACAGAGACTCGGCCGGTGCGCTTTGTCCTTTTGAAGGACGTGTTTGAGGTCGTGGGACCAGCGCCCGTCTCACGCCTCGGGTGTCCTTTTCCGATCTGACAGATTAGCTGAAACACACTCACACACACAGCGTATGATGTGTCATATCTTGTCTTCTGGGGCCTTTTCTTGGCATCCTGTGACCCCCCCACACACACCTCCACCTCCTCCTTCTCCTTTCTCGCTGCTTGATATGAGTGAAGTGGAAGCGAAGGCTTAACCACATCTACATCCCCCTCCGGTAGCGTGAGAGGAGGCGAGGAGATTGATGTGCTCCGGTGGGGGGGGGGGCACACCAAAGCAGGAATAGATCCTGGCAGGACCAGATGATGAAATCTTCCCCCTCCAGTGATCCTCACCCCCGCCGAGGGGGGAAGGAGGAGGAAATGGCTCAAGGGAGGAGCAGAGGAGGGGAAGCTCCTTCAAAATGTCTGTCTGGTTTATTCTCAGCTGCAGCGCCGAGTCGGCCTCTCCGATTGGCCGACTCGGCGCTGCAGTGAAAGAATAAAGGTGAAAAGGACCAAAAACCCACTTCATTATTTATCATTCAAAGCCTGCATCCAATGATGCGTCTTATTGTATCAGTCGTTGTCGGGGGGCTTTGTGTCCTCATGTAAGCAACCCGTATTAATCAAACAGCGGTTGAGTGCATCTGTCAGCGCGTCTCGTGTGGAGCGGCGTCGTTTCGTCCCTTTAGGACGTCTGCTGCCGTTTCCAGTTGAGCTCATCAGTTCGGTGTCTAAAATCTGCCTTTGTGATTTTAATTTCACAATCCGCACACAGAAGTGCAGGAAGCAGCAGTCAACAACTCGCAGGCTGCAAATGGAACCTTTCTGCTTTGTCTTTATCTCACTGCTTTTCATTCATTCAAACTCCGCTTAAGTAGCATTTGACAAGTAGTTTGTTCTAAACAAACAAACATTTCCATTATATTTTAAACTATGAAGCCATGACATCACAAACCAACTTCAGTTATTCTCATTCAACAGCTTCAACTTCAAGCATAAAGGAGTAGTTCAACATTTTGGAAACTACACTCGTCTGCTTTTACATTATTATTATTATTATTATTATTATTATTATAAGCATAGCGTTAGAAGAGAAGATCATACATTTCCCTTAACAGTAAATAAAAGGACTACATGAATCAAGATTGATTTCACTACTTTAATTGTACTCGGTCACTTTTCATTGTTCTTCATTAAAAGTCAAAGTCTGTTTCCTGCTGAAATCGAGCTTTGTTTTAATCACGCGTGTAGCTCGGTGTTGTTCACACATGATTCCTCGTGTCGAACAGCATTTAGCGCATCAAAGCTCCTCACGGATCGATTGTTGTGCGGTCGGCTCGCTGAGAACCTCTCGGCATCGATTAAGTGCTGCGTCTACCTGGAGGTGCGTGTTCCTGCAGGAGGAGGTCAAGGAGGGTCAGATCCCCGTGATGGACGAACAAGGAGGTCTTCAGGAGTCACGGCTGCACGTTCTGATGGAAACGCTAACATGCTCACAGCGAGGGCGCTAACCAGCAGGTATGTTCAGCATGCGCCTCATCCGGTGATCAGCTGGGATCATGAATGACGTCACCGAATGCTCTGCTAGTCTAGACGATCAAACGTAGACCTGACGGGCACGAGACCATTTATCTGTACTGCATTTCCCCAGAAAGCATCAAATAGTCATTTGTGGTTTCACATCCTTTCACTTGACACATCTGGCTCACTGTTCCCCCATTAACTTTTATAGAATTTAAACTTCACTAATTACTCACAGGTTCACTTTAAAAAGATAAACCTCCAGGTGATAAATTGGAGTCATACTAAGAAAGTATAAAGTAAGGCAGCAATAATAAGTCAGTGAACTGGTTTTATTTGAAGAGAATCCCCCTGATTGTCTTGTTCCCAATCCATTGATCCACAGTTATTCTGTGATGAAGTGTTGGAATAAACTTAATGGTGCGTCAATTTTCCCACAGCCGGTCTTCTCTGCTTCTACCTTTCCCAGAATCCCTTTCAGCGCTGGCGATCGCTGTTGAGAGCAGCAAGAAAAAGTAGGTTACACTTGTTATTCAAAATAACATTCAGCCGAGCGCCATTCTTCCAACGTTAGTCCTCAAGCAGGCTGCAGCGCATCCTGGAGTCCATATCACTCCTCATTATCACATCACTCATTATATCACTCCTTATTATGTATCACTCCTTATCACATCACTCATTATATCACTCCTTATTATCACATCACTCATATCACTCCTTATTATATATCACTCCTTATCACATCACTCATTATATCACTCCTTATTATCACATCACTCATCACTCCATATCACGATGTCACTCCTTATTATCACACCCCTCATCATATCACTCCGTAACTCCATATCACTCCTCATTGTATCCTCATTATCACATCACTCATTATATCACTCCTTATTATCATATCACTCATATCACTCCATATCACCATGTCACTCCTTATTATCACATCCCTCATCCCTCCGTAACTCCATATCACTCCTCATTATATCACTCCATATCACTCATTATCACATCACTCTTTATTATCATATCACTCCTCATATCACTCCTCATTATCACATCACTCATTATATCACTCCTTATTATGTATCACTCCTTATCACATCACTCATTATATCACTCCTTATTATCACATCACTCATATCACTCCTTATTATATATCACTCCTTATCACATCACTCATTATATCACTCCTTATTATCACATCACTCATCACTCCATATCACCATGTCACTCCTTATTATCACACCCCTCATCATATCACTCCGTAACTCCATATCACTCCTCATTATATCCTCATTATCACATCACTCATTATATCACTCCTTATCATATCACTCCATATCACCATGTCACTCCTTATTATCACATCCCTCATCCCTCCGTAACTCCATATCACTCCTCATTATATCACTCCATATCACTCATTATCACATCACTCTTTATTATCATATCACTCCTCATTATATCACTCGTATCACTCTGTATCACCATGTCACTCCTTATTATCACATCACTCATTATATCACTCCGTAACACATGTCACTCCACATTATAGCACTCCTTATCACCATGTCACTCCTTATTATCACACCCCTCATTATATCACTCCGTAACACATGTCACTCCACATTATAGCACTCCTTATCACCATGTCACTCCTTATTTTCACATCACTCCTTATTACATCACTCCTCATCATACCACTTCTCTGGAAATTACAGAGTTACACCACTTTAACCTGCCGAGGTTTTCTTGGGGACTTCTTTCTTAGTAGTTATCTCTAATAATGCTGTTAATTGCCCCCCCCATCATGCACATGGCCGGCGTGCATCAGCATTCCCCTCCTTGAGCTCGGCCCTGGCTGACACCCCCACCTCCCCCTCCCTCTCTGCCCCCCCTCACCCCCCACCCCCACCTCCTCAGCAGTCTCCGACTCCTCGGCGCCCAACCGCGTGATTTAATTTGTTTGGTAATATCAGGATTGGCGTGTTCAGCCCAGCTTCACTCCAAAGTGAAATTGGACGAGGGCATTGGAGCCTCACCAGGTACAAGCGCCTCACCTTGACAGCTGCTTGAGTGGGCAGCGGATTGCAGAAGAGAGGAGAGGGGGGGGGGGGGGGGGGCGGTTACCCCTTTACCACGGGGGAGTTTTGTGTCAGAAGAGAAGCGCAGGAGACAAAGCACCAGGTGCTACCGGGGGCCGATCCGCTCCACAACAAAATGCTGCAGCGCGTCCAAACCGTCCAATCGGCTTCCGGCTTCCTCGCCCTGTTTTCTGTGATGGACTTTGATGTAATTTGTCACATTTATTTTGTCAACTCAGATCTTCAAACTGCTCGTGATGGCAGAGATCCGTCACTCTGCACGGGGACAGATGCTTCTGTACTACGTCCCCAAATCCGTCCACCTCCTTTAGACAAGAATTGTTGGTCCTTTCTTTGCAGTAAGCGAGTGTCGTTTGAAGCCTCATTTCTCAATAAGGAAAGTCGCTAATGAGCATTTTATGGACAAATGAAAGAAACGATTGCAGCGGGTTTGTTACTACGTGATACAAGTGCTGTGCAGGAGTCGACATGAGTGACGGCCACCAACCGGACAGACGCATCTCCACTGTGACTCAAACACCAGGAGAACCGCGCTGAGGCAGCGAGGAGCCACCCTAACCACGCTAACCACGCTAACCCCGTTAGCGGTCTCTCAGACTCGTCCCCGCGCGGAGGCCTCGTGTGACCCCGATGAGTCGTGGACGCTGATGGAGAGCAGGAAGACACAGAATCACAGCCAACAGGGTCCAATAAAAAGTCTCACTGCAATTGATCGTTCCGTGAGAAAGTTGAAGCTGCGCACACACACACACACACACACACACACACACACACACACACACACACACACACACACACACACACACAGCTGCCCACACTGAGATGGCCTAGATAGGTAGATGTGGAGACAGGCTGAGGGGGGAGAAGGGATCTGAGGCCGGATTCATTTCCACCTCCAGTGGAGGGAGACCACCTATTCAGCCCGTCTGAGGGGCCACGGAGTCGACAACGGATCAGCCGCCGTCAGCCGCCGATGGGGGGGAGGCTTCACGAGAGCATTTCACCAACCCACCACTTCACCACAGCGGACGGGATCAACTTCCTCCGGTTTAGTGAGGGAGAGAATGTCGCCCCACCTCATTACCCCCACCTGGATGACACGGCGGGGGATCCTAATTTAAGTCACTCGTTAGCTCCGGACTAATGCGCTCTGACAGCAACAAGGGGGGGGGGGGGGGCGATAGGGGGAAGGGGAAGGCAGAGATCGAAGGAGGGGGGAGGAGGGGGGAGAGAGCAAGCAGAGGGGGGGGGGGGGGGGGGCGACTGTTGCCTGCTTTGATTTGATTTGAGCGTCATCGTCCTAAAGCATCACATTCCTGTTCCGATGCAACGAGCTGATGTTTCTGCTGCTGGACGGCGCCGCGCGACAGGAAGTCAAAACAAAAGCCCGTCTACCAAACGCCACCCATCGGCATGCTGGGTAATGGATCGGAGGAAATCATCGAGCATTCGACTTCGGAGAGCGAAGCGTGTTAGATTTACTCCTCCTGGTGGTTCGGAACCACATCTGGAGTGAAAGAGAAGGTGATGCCCTGCGTTACTTTTCCCTCCCCAGGAAACGATGTTCGATCTGAGCACTGATCTCCTTTTACGACTGAAGGTCGATGGATGGAGAGACGCATACCAGGGGAAATGGGGTCTGTACCACATTTAGCGGAAGATGTGGGACGATAATAAGAAGTTCCACTAGTTCCATCCGTTCTATTAAGCGTCAGCAGCGGCCTGCAGCGCCGCCGCCTCACTGTCGCCGCCCGATGCTGCTCTCTGACGACGTGGTCGTTAGCGGCGTCATCCTGCGGCTTAGAAATGCTTCAACGTCAAGTTAAGTCATTAAGTCCAAACAGTCTAAATTTACAGATGGACGTCCTCATTTCTGCACTCGCAACATGTTCTCAATTTATTTATCCAAGCTCAATTTATAAAAGGCCTTAATAAAGTTACCATGGTTACCAGGTATTTCTGATCGCACAAACAGCAAGAACTCCGCCCGAGATGTTTCCCTCAAAGGTCAGCGGAGACTAAACAGCCACGAGTCTAAACACAGAAGCAAGGCAGTCGAAGGTGTTTCATCTACATGTCGTCTGTGGGTTGAATTAGAATGTAAACTACTCCTCAAAACACTGGAACGAAAAGGAAGGTGTGACGTTGGCGTGATGAACCGAGTTGGTCTCTAATGTGCGATATTTCACGCTGGTCTCCCCCCCCCCCGAACGCCGCAGCACGCAGGTGCTCCCACCTGTGAACGAAAGCACATCAGAAGCATCACAGATTGTAAAACACGAAGGAAGAAATGTTTGTGTTTCTGTTTGCAGATGTTTGCCCTGAATGCAGATGTTGTTGTCTGATGGCGTCAGAGAGGAAACGAGCGCCTCGGCAGACCAGATAAGCCCCGATGTGAGGCATGAATAACTATGCAATTGATATTTCCCCTCGTCCTCACTGCATCGCTGCAGCCCGTTATGCAGCCTCAGCGCTGAGAAACACAGCGACGCAGCGCTGATAATCCCTGATTGAAAACAACACCGGGAAGCCTGGAGCTCAAAGATAGGACTTTTAATTTGGTTTGCTGATGCCTTCTGGAGGATGAGCGAATAGATGGCAGCGTGATCTTAGACGGGCGCAGATGGATTCCTGCTCATTTTCCCCCCCGGTTGACGGTTTGTGCGCCTTGTGGTGCACATTTCACCTGTAATGGGATTTGGAAGCTGGAGTGGTATTTGAACGCATCACCAGGTAAAGAAAGCTAATGGGGAGAAGGAATGTGTTCGTTACAGATGTGCAGGTCCAAGTTGACGATGGAAAGGTGTTTAGCAACCTGTAGCTAAAGGTAGCATTGCTATAGTACTACTATAGTACTCTAATGCTAACTGTACGTTAGCATTAGCCAATTGAAGCATGGAAACACAAATACACTTTTGTTGCACGTCGCCCCGTCTTGTCTGTGAGTGACTTAAAAAAAAAAAAATGTCCTCCGCTTGGAGGCTCGTGCGCGGCAAAAGAAACTCAACTATCAATTCTGTATTTTCTCCACGACTTTCGGCGTTGGAATGCAGTGAATGCATTCAGACGTTTTGAACCCGTGTCTCATCTGCAGTGGACGGAGCCCCCGGCGTCCTGCTTCGTCCCGGCGGAGAGCGTCTGCAGCTAGCGCGCTGATTGGTTCTGGGCTCCCGCCGGTTCCAGAGGACAGTGTTCCTTCACAGCGGGGCTGTAATTAGCCCGGATTGAAGCCCCGGACCCCCCCGGGCACCGGACCCCCCCCCCCCCTCCGCCCCCTGGACTGTGACAAATGCCGGGAATGATAAAAACCGGGCGCCTTGATGTTCGGCCCCCGGGGGCATTTTACCTTTTCGTTCGACCTCTTAAAGTGCGTTTTTTTATTTGAGGGGCTTCCCCCTCCTCGACCTTCGGGTCCCGTGAGAGTGTCGGCTGACTGTTGACACCGAGGCACGGTGTTGAACATCAGGTTTGACGTCACCTGACGGAAAACAGATAAACCGTGTCTTCTAAATGCACTCCCCAACCCGTGTGATTGGGCGTGAATCCCACCGGTGACGAGAGAGTTGACACCCTGATTTCCTCATTGTGATGCGCTGCTATAGCGTCCAGGAGGAGAGCTGTATCTTCCAAACAGGCCGGGTGTCGAGGGAAGAAGTGGGCGACCTTCCTGCGACCTTCAGCCCCCCCGCTCGGCTCGTGTTGTGTGAGCCGCCGATGGATTCACTGCTCACATTTAGCGGCGCTTGTGCTTCTCCGTGGGTGACCGCCGTCAAATCTTCTCTTTTCATCTTGCTGAATGTCTAATTGGCCGCAGTGAGTCATGTGATTGATCTGGCGCTCATTGCGCCGCAGAAGGAGTTGGTCGATCGGTAAATGGTGCAACAGATGGCGGCGGTGGCGACGCCTCCCTCGTTGCGTGTTTCTTAAGGGTCCTCGTGGGAAACGGGAAATGATCACAACGGGCCTCCGTCGCCGTGGATACCGGTGGCGGGGGGGGGGGGGGGGGGCGGGCTGCTGTGCGTCTCACAGTGAGCCATTGTGGACCGTCCCCCCCGCCGACCCAGTGATGCAAAAAAACCCTCGTGCACCGTTTCCACTGGATGAACGGCAGTAAAGGTGGAGGTTTTAAATGGCGGTGGAGTTTAATACAAACCGCTCGTCTCGGGGAGAGACGGCGCCTCGGACTCCGTGGTGTAAAAACAAACTGGAGAAGAAGAAGAAGAAGAAGAAGAAATGCGTTGGTTGTGTGAGAAGCTTTAATGTGACAACGTTCCTTGTTGCTTCTTCTACGTTTCCTGATCTTCTGGCGGTTTGTGAAAACGCCACCTGGGCCTTTTCTTTGCTTGATTGGCGGATCCATCGGAGAGAGCGACGTGCTTCACCTCGTTTCTTCTTGATGAAACGTCCTCATCAGTGTGAATAAATGGACACGCCCACAACTGGGAACGTTTGTAAAATCAATGTTTAATTCAGTCTACTGTAAATATTTAGATTTCCCGCGCACACTATAATCTGTTCATCTGCTTGATTGCATCTTTTAAATGTCTGTTTATTGTTTCCTAAACAGCTGATGCGTGTGAGGAACACGGGGATGCTGGATGGTACGTCGTACATTATCACTCCACATGGATGTGCACCCGTTCTCTCTCTGCCGCCGCCGCCGCCGCCTGCTTCCTCCGGCGCTCCGTCCTCTCACGGCTGAAGCTGTGAGCCGCAACAAAAGGTCTCTGTTGGAGAAAAGAAGCGGCGTGCTGCGTCTCCGGGGGGGGGGGGTGAATGGATGCAGAAGGCCGTCTTCAGTTGGTAAAAGCGGAGAGAAAAGGAAGAGTCTGCTCTTTGACCCGAGGGAGGACGGACGGACACGAGCGCCGCGTGTCTCCTTTGCTTTAAGGAACCTATTTGAATAAATCCCATTATCAATATGCTGAGGCAGTTTTTACATCACAGAGGAAAGAATGAATGACAAAGAGGAGACGGCCGGACGAGGAGAGCGAGCGAGATGTAAAATGGTGTTTAACCGAGATGAGAAACAAAGACGGGGGGGTAATAGATTCAGCACGCAGCCAAACCAATTTCCACTCTCAACCTCATCCGGACCAGCTGATGATTAAGAACAGCGCCGGGGTCACCTTGCTCAACATCAGAGGCACTTCTGGATTCATGACGCGCTGACAGTCACTCTGAATTATCTGCCGATATATAATTCAGGATGCTCGCGGTTAGTCGGCGCGACTCCCCCGGCTCAGCGCTGCAGCCGGGGATCTACGTCAGTGGGTGGAGGTCGCGGCTCAGACGCACACAGGCACACTCTGTCCCGTCAGATGATCATCTGTGCAACACACATCTGCCATCCAGCTTTTGTGACTCATTCTGGTCGCACAGTGTCGTTCTCAGCCGTTGGGGAACGTTGGTCTTATCTTTAATATTTTAATTAGCTGAGAACATTCAAATAATCCACCGACTGTTGAAGAAATGAACAGTATAATCAGTCCGGCCTTCTAGCAGCTAACTGTTCTCATGCACGCTCACATACTGGGTGTCCTGGTGGCCCGTGTGCACGCACACGCCACCTGCACATCTGCTCCATGATTTCCATTAGAAAACAGCACATCCTTCCTGTTGCGGGTCAACGGGGTCACTGGTGAGTTAAAGGACTAATCAGAGGCCTGATTGCTGCCCACCCACCTGTCCCCCGGCCGCGGGGTCAACGCGGCGGTTCACACCGCCGCTGCCGCCGCCGGACGGGCGAGCGCCCGCTGATTGTCTTTCAGAAAGGTGGGCGGAGACGAGGAAACAAGGAACTGCAACTGCAAGAAGGAAGGAAGAAGAACACGCGTTCAGTAGGATAATATCATCAATCAATCAATAACATCACGTTAGAAGTCTTTTGATGTCCGTTTGATTCTTCTTCCCAAACACTTCAAGTACCGGACAAAATAAATAATAGTTAAATAACGTGACATGAACAGTGAAAAGGACAAAGAAAAAATGTGTAACAAATGTAAAGACTTGTGAAATTCCAGAATATTTTGCACATTTGGAAGTATTTCCTCACGATAGCTTTTTAGCGTAGCTTAGCTTAGCTTAGCATAAAGGTTTAGTGCCTTGAGTTTTGCACATGCTATTTTTCTCTGCACGTTTGCTATTTTTCTCTTCCCCTCGTTCCGATTATCACAGCCGAGCTTCACCACGAACGTGCGTCTGGAGAAGAAGCGATTGTCAGCGGGTCTCGTATTCGCCGAGCCGCCGTGCTCATTGCGATGCTCGTTGTCTCGTCTGATGATCCTGCGCGAGAGGATCTACGAATGAAACATCAGTCGTTTCCCAGTGAGACTTGGTGCTTTTTAACATCATATCTTGTTCTTTGCTTTGCGACGTGCACGTTTAACCGCCTGGTTAAATCGAGCGGAATGTGGCGTTTCGGGCCTCATTAGCCAATCGCTGAGGAGTGTTGTGACGTCATCCACCAGCTTCTCCCAAACGACATCAACAATCAGGCTTTCTTAAAATAAATCCCCGTGATGGAACAGTGAGAGATTTAATTCCTTTTAATAGCGGACAGAGGAGCCGAGCAAATGGGAAATAAATGATGTGAAGAACGACGACTTGTGTAAAACCTACAATTCATTTCGTCATCGTTTGGCCCCTTTTAAACCGTTTTATTCCATCGCGTGCTGCTGCAGTGTTGATGAAATAAAAAGGTCCAACCTGAAGATGACAATGACAATAATGTAATATTGTGAAGAGGTTTGTTGTCCCTCCACGTCGGTACGACTGTTCCACCACTTTTAAATCCTCCTCACGTGCGTTCTCTCCATCGCCAAAACGATACGGGGATTTATTCCAAGTCCTGCTCGGGTCAAAAGCCTCCTTTTGCTCCCGGATGCAGTTTAATAACGTCCATAACGAGGGCTGACAGAGAATTAATATGGATTAAAAAGGGCCCACGGGGGGGCTGCAAACTTGTCTTCATTACCAGGTAAGTGACAGCGCAATCTTTGTTGGGTTGGTCTCGCCGAGAGGCTCCGCCGTCCCGTCAGTTATTTCATTGTTTTTAAGCACAATTAGCTTTTGATTAAGCTTCCTGGGGGGGTAAAATAAAACGCCTCTAACGGGGCATTAGCCTCTGAGCCCCGTGGCTTTATTGTTGTGTATTAGGCCCAATCTGAAGAGTGGTATCTGTTGGGGGAGGGGGGGGGGGGGCTCTTTTCGATGTGCACCATATTTCATGGAGGCGCTCCGCTCCGTATTGATCAGCGCTCATAAGTGGCGAGAGATGGAGAGGCCTAAAAGCCTCCTCGCGGCGGGTCACGTGGCCGCTGATCGGCTCCTTCCGCCGCCACGCGTCTCATCGCGTTTAGCGTCGCGTCGCAGTAAATCTTGGCCCCACTTCTCCCCTTTAGGGCGGCAGTGGGAGTGACTTGAGTTCTCCGGCTGGAACGTGTCCGGGTTGCCATGGCGACGAGCAAACCCCCGCATCCCTGTGCGCTCACATGAAGCACGCCGAGCGCTAATTGGTCGTCAAACACACACACACACACACACACACACACTGATCTTCACACCTCCGTCATCCTCGTCTCATGTTTGAGGAGGAAATCATTTTGTTCCCGTGGTTTTGAATCCGCACCAATGTGAGAATAATTAAACCGTTTCATTGGGATCTCTCAGATCTTTAGTTTGTGCTTTCATCGTTTCACCGGCCCGCCGCTGTCCCACCTCCCTCCTCCACGCCCCCCCCAGAGGACAGAGGACATGCTACTGTGTGTGTCTCCACCTGGTCCCGTCCTCTGTCTCTGCTGCTCATGTCCTGTTGTACGTCCGAGCCAGTTAATAGACTGTGACACAGACACTAACTGCAGCTGTAATAGAAGTGTAATGGAATCACCCCCCCCTCGACCCCCCCCACACCGACGTCACAAACAAGTTGTCCATTTTCCAAACTGAAGGTGCAGGGCGGATCCGGTGACGTCTGTCTCGTCCCCCGTGTCCCCACACGCTCCACCTCTGTGGCCCCATTTGCAAATCCTCGTATGAAATTACGGCATCGATCGACCAAATTGTCATTTATGGTCGAGCTCTCGAGTTTCAGGAGATAATGGAAGGCTTGTTATCCACCGACCAGGACAGGAAATCGTTGGAAATGGAGATTAGTTGCATCTGCACAATGATGATATCCATGTACCGATGGGGGGGGGGGGGAGTCATTCAAGGCTCGTATTTCAAATCCTTTATCTAAATAGTTTACTTTTCCTTTCAGAAGAAAACGGAAAAAAGGCTCCATTCATCATCTCATCGTCGTCTGACAACCTGCACTTTCCTTTTCTTTCCGTGAGGATCCGACTGCTCAGTGAAAGATCCACACGTGGACCGTTTACGTCCTTCAACACCTTCCTTTGGTTCTCTTCCTAGCGTTCGACGCCACGTGGCCACGTGGAGCGTGACGGCTGCTGACCGTGTATCTTATGCACTGACTCATGAGTAAACATCATATGATGGCGGGAAGTTCGCTCCTCCATCTTTTCCACGGGACCTATAAGGCGACAATGTGGACCAACTTATCTTCATGTAGATGGAGCTTCAGATTAAACACACTTGTCGTCTTTGCCCTTCGGCAACAACAGCCGCTGCACGCTGATGCTTCGCCACACTAACTCATCGCGGACGCAGAAACGTCTTCAAACACGCGGCGTGGTCGCCGACAAAAGGCCTTTCGGGACGAGCGAGTGTCCAGCTGACAACAATCCCGCCGTGATGGGCCCCTTCTGCTCGGCGCTCGGCGGAGCTGTTGTGTATTAATCGGACTCACCTGCAGTCTGATCACCTGGTCTGATCAGACCCGGGTGGCTGCAGACGGCCACCTGCTCCCGCCGCCTCCCTCGCTCCGCTGGTTAGCCGGCCGGTCGTCTCCGCTTCCTTCGTGAGTTCTGTGTATTTCTCCTGAGATGAAATGCGAAATAAATAGCTAAAGTTTGGATGCGGAGGAGACCAAAGGCGTGAAGAGGAGACGGGTTCAGAGATGAGACACCTTAACATTCTAACTATTGTATAACGTTATGCATGTGCGTATTCAATCATCATACAAACCGAGGCTTCCTTCCTTGTGTGCAGTCTGAAGGTGGAGAGACGTCTGTGAACTGCGTTCCATCATCAGGAGCACGAGCTCACCGCTCTGTGGACCCTGAGATCACGGTGAAGATCCGCTGTGAAGAACATCACTGCGGGTGGAGACATTTTTAATCCCGCACGTATGACTGTCGTATTTAGTGTGTCTGCGTCCCAGCAGGTGGGTCTCCTGCAGGAACCTTTGTGATGCTGCCAGAGGCTCCGCCCCCTGCCGTTTACCCGGCCCTCCTCCCGATGAGGCGCGCCGCGTCGGCTCATCTAACGCCGCTTCAGCCACGTTTGGGCCCTTTCGACACATTTCGTGTTTCACCTTTCGAAATCATTTGAGCGCGGAAACATCTGGGCGCCGCTGGATATCAGCGACTTCATGTAAACGCTTCACGGCAGCACAAAGAAGGCCGCGACTCGGGGGGGGGGCGGAGCCAGACGGCGTCTTCAAGACGCCCAAACAATTTTCAAGACCAGCAACTTTCAAGTCTATAAAAATCGATCTGTTTGTCACGAGAGGAGAACCATTTGGGATCCGTCAAGCGTGAAATCTTTGTGGAATGAGTGTATCAATCAGAAAAACTCAGACTGAGATTGAAAGATGATAGAAGGACGGAGAGCGACGAGTGGAGGAGCCAGAGAGAGAAAGTCATTGTTTCAGCTTCCCTAAACCCTCTCCATGAGCAAGGCACTCCTCCTCGTCCTCGTCCTCCTCCTCTTCCTCCTCTTCCTCCCTCTCTGTGACATCGTGTATCGCCTCCGTCGCGCTGCTGCCGTCGGATAAACGCTTTGTGTTCGTCGGTGCGGCCGTGCAGCATCACAACACATTGTTCATTATCAGCACCACAAAGTCACATTGTGTGTTTGTGTGTGTGCGAGACACACACACAAACACACACGCAGAGAGTCGCACGCGTATCGCTGCTTCCAGAGACGACGCAGTCGTCTTCGCGTCTCCGGGCAACAAGCCCGTCGGCTGTGATCAGTGATCCAACGTGGTGTCAGACGACACGCGTGACCCACAATCACAGGTTCATCTGCTTCACAAGCAACGCCGTCGCCATTCTTCACGCTTCCCCCTGCGTCATGTTCAAACGGGGAGAAGCAGCCGGGACACGAGTCGTGTTCCCTGGAGGCCTCGACTCTGCCGAAGGATTCGTCACGTCCTGCGAGGAGCAGAGCGGGAAGCAGACGGCGAGCCTCGGACCCCCGACGGGGAACGAGGGGAAACTACGATGACATCATGTGACCTGCAAAGACCCCGAGCCTGATTCCCACTACAGAGATGCTACGTGGCTACAGCCGCTCCGCTTGAAGCTTCTGCTTGCAAAGGTGGATACAAACATCTGACCACCGGCGTTGTGGAGATACACGGATTCACCGGCAGCTCACCTGCAGTGTGTCACGATGACACACACACACGCACACGGGGTCGCTGATGGGAAAAGCATGTTCATTTCCAGTTCCTTTGCTCTATTTGTGGGTCCTCGGCTGCAGGGTCTCGGTTACAGCAGAAAAGGTCTCAGGAGTGTCGCAGTAAAGCGACGGCGTCCATTAGCTCTGATTTCAGAAGCTAAAAGCCCCAAAAACAGTTTGCGCTCCTCCACCAAACCATGAGCTCAAATGGAGCGTGATCTGGTTCCTCCTCGCTCGCCGCCATCAGCTCCTCTTCCTCCTTTGTCATCCGCCTGGGGGGGGGAGGGGTGGGGGGGGCACCTGGGAACCCGTGTGGAGGTATAATTGCTTTCTTGTCTTTTTCGGTTCCCTCCCAAAAGGAGAGGAAGCGTAGCAGCGAGCGACTGAGGTTATCGTCTCCGCACTATCTGCTGAAGAAGCACATTAATGAATAGTGCATTAAAAGTTTGAGTCAAAGGAAGAAAACACACACACACACACACACACACACACTATCCTGCAAACTACTGTCATTTAAAACGGCCACAATGCAATCTGGAAAATGAAAAATAAAAGCCTTCCGGCGATTTTATTTAAACAAGGCAAAGAAAAAGTGGCGTTCACCTGCCTGTTGCAGCCTAATTGATTCATTTCACAGCTCCTTGGTTTTTCCACTGGCTTCCTTTTAGAGAAACACACCATGTGAGCAAACACACAGCGAGTCCAACGCACAGATTTCCATGAGGGAGGAAACCGAACGGCTCGACTCGTTGTGACCCGGCAGCTAACTGCCCCACGAAGCAGCTCCCTCAGGGGCCCGAGGGTCACCGACTGACCGACACAAGGTGCAGAATCCGCAGCCCCAAATTCACACCTTTTTGAGCCGGTTTGACCAGGGTTGCCGTAGCGACGGCGAGCTGGAGATGGCCGTGAGGCCCCCGTGGAGCGAAGCGAGGACCGAAGCGTCACGCGCTGCTGCTCCAACAGAAGAACCCAACGTGACCGTTAACTTCCAACAATCCAAAGCAGGCCCCCCAAAACGCCCCCCCCCCCCTCTCGAGTGGATTCTGCTGGTGAATTGAAGCCGGGGAGGCACACGGGGGGGGGGGTTCCACTCGGACCGGCCCAGGTGAAGGAGAAGAGCCGTCATTACGCTGCTCAGTGGAGCGGCAACATCTTGGAGCTGCTCCGGGGACATTTGCTGCCTGAGCGGGGAGCCAACCTGCCCCCCGTCCTCCCCCTTCTGTCTGTCTGTCTGCATGATTGCATGCGTGCCTCCGTGTGGGTTTACCTGTGTGTGTGTGTGTGTGTGTGTGTGTGTGTGGTCCCAGCAGCTCCTGCTTTAAACCCACCGAGACCATCACGCGTCCTGTCCAGCCGACGGACGCGTGACCCGGAGACCAGCGGCCGCTCTGCCTCTGTGGGATTAAACAACAGCACTGATGAAATGCACCGGCCATGTAAAGTAATACAAATTATCATCTGTCACATTAATTTATCTTCAGTATTCAGTGAAATGAGGATTAATGAATTAAACCGTAAACTGTGTCAAATCTGTGCATTTAAAGCAAACGGCGAATTAGTGTTTTAAACAGAGACGATCAAGGTACTTTCAGTAAAATAACACAACAGCCTTGTGTTAAAACAGACTTTAGTTCTTGGGGTTAATTCGGGTCCAACGACATCAAACGCACAATAAAGTGTCGCCTGCTGCGTCCGTCTCTGCCTCCGTCTCACGTCACTCGGCTCACTGGGGCCACAATTCCCTCCGACAGGTCTCCAGCCTGTGTGTGTGTGTGTGTGTGTGTGTGTGTGTGTGTGTGTGTGTGTGTGTGTGTGTGATGCTCACACGCTACAGAGCAGAGATGAATGAGACGGTGTGTGTCCGGTGCAATCACAGTGACGTTGGACGTGGGGTCGAGGGACACTCGGAGGGGACACGTGTCCCCCGACGTCGCTGAAGAAGTGCAGCTCGATGCCGATAATCAAGATTGTTAATTCCTCCTCTGGAGGCTGATCAGGTCTTTGTCCTGCAGGTCTTTGTCCTGCTGGTCTTTGTCCTGCTGGTCTTTGTCCTGCTGGTCTTTGTCCTGCGGGTCTTTGTCCTGCTGGTCTTTGTCCTGCGGTGGCGTCTCCGTACGTATCTACGTGTATAATAATGCATCTACGTCACCGTGGCCACGGACGCTGAGCACATCCTTCATTTCTCTGATCAGCGTTGCATCTGAAATGTTGACGTATTGTCATGAAAAGATGAAAAGAAAATGTCCCTTTTCAGGCAGTGAAAAGAGCAACTCTTATTTTCTGAAGATGTCTTAAACGGAGCCGTCTCTGAACCAGGTGCGTCCTTTCGTCCGGGACGTGCTGCTGCCGTCCCCGACCTGTTAAACGGAGGATGGCACCACTGACACACGAGAAACCCACAGCACCGTAATTGAGACGCACGCCGGGGACATGTCCGGGAGCTGTGGACATCAAGTGTCTGATGAGTTGCCCTCGAGGGGCCCATTTGAAATCAGCGTCCTTTCTCTCGGTGACGGCGACGTGCCGAAGCCGCAGGAAGTGATTCTCTCCATGGTAACCGTGGAGATGGAGAAACATCAAAGGTCGGATTAATTCTCTTCTCGGTTCTGCGTCTCTTTCGGGCTTAAGGTTCTTCTCACCTCGGAAACCCGTCTCCATTTCAACGAATCCCTCTTTCCCCCCCAGAGGGTCTTCTTTCTTCTGCCGTTGTTCTCAAGGAGGAGAGCGAGCAGCCGGCGGCAGGCAGAACCTTTTTGGACCTCTTGACCGAACCGAGGGGGTCACGTGACCCGGGACTTTGACCTTTCGTCCCCCGGACAAACAAACCACCGCGACATCAAAAGGTTTGGTTCTGCCGCTGAACAGACAAGAGGACAACGGAGGCTTTTAGACGCCCGGTCGCTGTAACGACGGTGACATCTCATGCGCGTTATCGGCGTCTCCACGCGCCTCTCTGCCGAGGAACAGACGCCACAGGTTTGACGCGCCGCCCGTCCGTTTGGATGGAAACATCTGTTGCTGCAGGTCTTGCAATTTGCAAACAGATGTTTGGCAAATTCAGACGATAAATTGAGCGATCAGTCCTCAAGTTGAGGTGGAATTTGTTGACATTTGAATTAATTCAGTAAAGCTCATCAGCCCCGTGGGCTCCGTTCTGTCCGAGGATCAATAATCCACCGAGAGTAGAACCGCAGGATGGATTTTCCACAGATTCAGCCGAACGTTTATATTTTAACCAGAATATCCTGCTGGAAAATATTCAGACAAAAACAAGACCTTAAAGTCTCCAACAAGTGTGATGTCTGACTTGTTTAGAGGTGGTGGTGTAAGTATCACACACACGTCATCATGTTTTAGATAATAAATAGCTCACTAGTGAATGTGTGACGGTTGATGAGCAGCTTTCAGACTTAAACACGTCGAATACGTTGAGGTGTTTAATCTGCTGTAGTCGACCAACTGAACCCAGTGAACCAGATCAGAGCAGAAGCCGTTTGTTGCCACATTGTTGCACACAGAGGATCACACCTGCACGTGGTCTCGATCGCCGCCTCTCAAAAAAACTCTCTATTATTACTCATCTTGTGTGATGTCACAATCCCCGATATCCATGTGCACCATCGCGCTCTTCCGTCACATATTGATCGGTATATATTTTGTGTTTGTGGTTATTTTCCTGAGATTCATGGAAACACGATTTGCTTTGAGGTCAAACGACGGCGAGAGAGTAAAGCTGCTGTTTCATCTCGCTTCACACGTCCTCTGTGTCCATGTGAGCAGAGTTCGCCGGCTCGGAAGCGATTGGATGCGTCAATTAAATCAGTTCTGTTGGTCCCATTTTCTCAATCAATCCCACTTTCCTGCAGCGAGCCTCTGGCTGGGGATCGATGGTGTGATTGAATGATTGGAGACTACTAATCCAATTTACTTTTCCCCTCCCGTCCGCCGGCGATCTGTTCAGACACCCTGCATCCTTTTCCCCTGCTGTTTTTTTTTAACTCAAAGCAGACCAAATGGCCGATAGCGACGGAAGGCATCAGTGTCTCGATTGTGATCGCTCGCTTTGGAGGCTTTTCAGGGCCGCGGCGCTCAAAGGAGCGCCGCGTCGGCGTTCCGATGCCAGAATAAAAGCATCATCGCGCTGATTCGTATTTCTGCACTCGGCTCTGTGGTGGAGGCTCATCTGGCTCCGCTCACAGCTTCACTTAATGTCATTTCAAAGCGTGTCAACATGTCAGCCTCACGGTTTAAAGTGGACGGAAGGACAAGATGGTCCTCTAGAAGCCGGCAGACGTGTCCTCTGTGTTAAGTGTTAAATGTTGATCTGGTCAATAAGCACGAGGGTCTTTAGTCCCTGCAGCCCCCAGGGAAATAAGAACAGACCGGTTTAGTGTAAAGCTCAATCAATGTGTCCTTTAAATGGCAAAAAGAAAGAAAAGAGAAAGT